TTATATAGAATATAAAAAATATTGATATTAATAAATAGGATTACTATCTTAATCAATATCGACGAATAGGGTAGACTAGATGCAATTGCTGAATATCTGCGCGAAGTATATTGCGATACGTAGTTTAGAAAGAGTTTTACGAGTACTATAATAATAATTGATACTATAATATTATAAAACACTTTTAAATTACATATAGTTAATATATAAGAGCGAACATTTTTTTGAAAATTCCTGTATAATATCATTTTCAATCTTCAATATTAGTATACTTTTTATAATGATTAATAATGTGACGGAACAGACGGCTCTCTTCCGCCCACTGGCTCATACTACATATGTAGTATGATATGACGGCTCTTTTGGACCTCCCTTTCACAGCTTAGAGCTCTAGCTCTACAGCTCTAGACCTAGGCATCGTACGATGCTTATCTCTAGGTCTCTTCCACCCTTTTGGGCCTAGCCCTTATGGCTCCCAATACCTGTATATATAGTCCTCCTTTTAGCATCCTACATAGCTCTTCACTTGTAGATTCTAAGTACACAATCGGAGTCCTGTTTATACCCTTTTGGTCACAAATAAAACAAAATCTGAAAAAATGATATTCAAGAATATCTTTTAATCTTTATAATTATCAAATTAGATTATTGAATTAATAGGCCCCCGAAAGACAAGCTGCGATATAGGCCCTGAGATACTCTAGAAAAACGATTCAAAGAGTGTAGCCAGACGAATTGTTTTTTTGGTATCGAGGGGCCATAGTCAAAGCTCGTAATTGATGCTGTGAAGCCTTCATCGAGATTTGGATCAATCATCACTGGATGGGGTTCATTACAACACAACACAACACAACACAACACAACGACGAAAGTGATCGAACCCCTGAAAGAGAATTAGAATAGGAAACGGAAATAACGGCGGTTATGCAATAGGATGGATGAATTGAGGTTGAAAACGCTGATTGAGCTACGAGTATAAGATATAAGAGTCCAAGCTGTAATCATCGTTTCGAAACCGGAATGTAAACTATAGTAGTATACTAATTAAATTAGTAATTCATTTTGTTACATCTATATCTAAACCGTGACTACTAACCAGTTTCGTCTAATAAATTCAGATTAATAATTGAAATCTAATTTTCAAAATTATTAATTTAATTACTAATTAATTTAATTTATAACTTACAATGTTCAAATTGTTACTTAAACTACACTCTTCCAAACTACTAGTTTGCCGATTTAAGTTGGCTCAAACTACTGACTGCACTGAGTCTGTCTAGATCTATCGAAATGTTTTAAAAGAAACCCAACGAGAATTTTAGTCATCACGTTAACCTTATCCATTGTTTTTTCTGAGTGTTTATCATATTATGAAGATTTCTTAAAACAAAGGTCATGCATGATGAAGCAACGCTCCGAGTCTGAGCCCCGATTAAAGTTTGTCCTCCTACTGGTATTGATTATCATGAGATATGTATACAATCATTTTGATTTTCCTCGAGTCCTCACCATTTCCAAAGAGATTCGTGGAGTTCAGGCGAAGTCTTCCCCCCCCCCCCCCCCATGCGTATCGTATGTATCCAAAATACAGTATCTGTAACAACTACCAAAGTCGCTTGGCTACCTGGTTAGAGCGGTAAGACTTGTTCTTAGGTTTTCTTCCGGCTGAATAGATGTTTGGGGGTGTTGGAGACTTTTAGGATGCTGATACATTCGTAAAGCTATATCAAAATCCCTGAGAGATCTATCTTTGGGGAAACCCTTATATATAAATAGGGACTACCCAACGTCATGGAATGGAGAGTGTATATGACAAGTACGTATGGCAGAGTAGGAGCCAGTGTAGTCAATAATCAACCAGTTGAATTAGTGCACTGATTGAACTGGCAATTTAGTATGTTTAATTACAACTAGCAATCATCTCAGTTTATAAAAATAATCTCAGTTACTAATTGAATTATGATATCCCAAATTATTAGTTCAACCAATTGAACTAATCAGACTAATATTTTTACTAGAAAAACGTGCTACACAAGTGCTTTAGCGCTAGATCGTATGACCTCAACTGCTAGTTAAACTATAACATTCCAAACTGTCAGGTTCCCAATTGGTTCAACCTCCCGACTACACTGGCAAAAGCCTAGGAACGAAAGTACCGTCATCAAAAGGCGAGCTGGTGCCGAACGATGCTGAAAAACTTTCGAAATGTTTCGGTTTCTCGTGCAACACAAGGATCATTGCCTCTTCGCATCAAAGGAGAATTTGCAACCACATCCATGGCCTATGATTCAAAATAGCTTATAACTTGGTTAAGACGGACCTTGGGCAAAAATAGAATTGGTACATAATCTGGTTTTCTATTTAGATCATATCGTCCCCAAGCAATCCCGTCATTTGATTCTACATATGATTTCTACTTCATTTGCCGAAAATATATTGCATACCACTATAATAACCACTAGGATCTAACATACTTGTGTGATATACTTGTAAAGGCATGTTTACGGTCGAGTCAATTAAGTATTTTTCATTGTTTGTTGCTTACCTTTCATTAAGCAAGCTAGCACTATACTAGAAGCCGAACTAGCCAAGCAAGCCAGAGCAGCAGCCGAAGTAGTAACTTGCCGTCCTGTAGTGTTGTGGCTAACACTCTTCAAGACACAGTCCTCACAAATCACAACTGCAAATCAAAAGTGATCCGGTAGAAAGGCAAAGGAGATTAGGAGACCCAAATTCATTTAAATCCAAAAAAGAAAGAAGACAAGGTGAATGATGCACAACTGATACACATCCCAGTAACTGTAGAAAATAAAGCCGAGTCCATAGTGAAGCCACAGGTCTCTATAACATTAAAAAAGAAAGCCCCATCTCCCACAGTTCATCATTTACCTCACCAACCACCCCCCCACAGCTTAGTACAGAGCCAGAACCGCTTGATTTTCACCCAGTACACAATTCCATAGTGCAGCCATAACCATTCAAGCCACCCACTCCACAGGAACATCCCTCTCAACAAAATCAACCTCGACATCATCATCATCATCATCCTCAATCTCATCTCTCTTACCAGCCGGCTTCGAACTTCCCGTACAATAATCATCCTTGCTATCCCCACCAATGCAACCTGAGGCACAGAATTGGATTAATTGAATATCGCCATGTTCAACGCAAGCCCAAAGCGATTGCTTGACGTAGATGTCCGAGGTGGGTAGGTTACGCGCACGAAGATTGGTGTTGATCTTGGTGATATAGTCACCTGTTTTGGATATATTGTTAGTGTTAGTTCTTTCAAAGTTGTTTGGATTGGAGAATGTGATTGGGAAAAGATAGTGAAAAGGGCCCGGGCGGTTGCTGACCTCTTCTGAGCAAGTCGGTACCGCAGTAGATGCCACCCCTTTTGCAGCTCTTAGCAGCGACTAGGCTGGAGAGAGCGGAGGTAAGGACGATGGCGATCATGGATAGTTGAACCATTTTGAAATTTTTGGAATAGCAGGGATTTCTTAAGTGAGAAATTGATTTGATTGGTGATTGAGGTAAGGATTGCAAGTAAACAGGAAGATGTTGTTGTCGTTGATGATGAGCAAAGACGTTATTCTCTAGTGAGAGAAGGCTCTTTATATATGTCTGTTGCCTACTCGCCAAGCATACATTACAGTCAAATACAAGGCTGTCTGACCTCAGTATCAACGATGTAGAACGAAGATGGCTTGAATCCTATAGGAAGAACATCATCCACCGGAGCACCAGCTCAGCTTGATGATAATGGAATATACAGTGCCTCAACATAATCGTCGCCAAATGAAACGAATGTGACCTTATGTTTGAGAGAAATCATCATTGATTCTTGGGACGAGCGACAACAGTACTTGCATCACCAGACGTAGGTGACGCCTCATTTCTCGTTAATGCTCACGGAAAACCTAACATTGATGATCCTATGATTTGGGATTTGGGGCACGGTTCGGCCGTAGCCAATGTCGGGATGGCTTCGTGGCTTCTGCAGCTTGGAGTTATAATCGCTCAGTGTATACTCGAGTAATATCTAAACGGTCTTTTTTGATCGTCCACACACTAATTAGATGATCTATCAGCGCGTTATATTACCATAAGATTCTGTACAACGACTAGAGCTAATAGTAACTAGCTCTAGCAATCTAGTATACACATAGGACCGGTTATTGATATGCAATTGAACCAGTATCAAACAATTAATTCTTTCCAGAGAATGTGAGAAGGGAACTCTAACTGGTGAACGAAAGGCGCACTTTTGTCTCCTTTACACTTTCTCTTCGTTATCTTGCCCCCTTCGTTTACACTACTAATTTGTTCTGTGCGTTTTAGATGATGCTATTTTGCATTACCCATTCCTACTTTCGGCAAAATGTTAAATCGCCACTTTGATGCCTCCTACAGTACGTTAATACTGTAGTCCTCCCGAGCTGACCTAGATATAGATGTTATCACATTAAGCCTTCCTTTCAGGGAATAACATTAATCCCGCAACTAGTTAGGGGCCTGTAAGGGGTAAATCCTTCTTTGCAAAAGTACGTGTATTGCTGATAAATGTTTTTATTTGACAAAAGTAGACTATAAGATGATTTGAGCTGAAAGAATGCGCTCATTTTCCACATCTATGACTGTATGACACTGTCATATCTTGCTCAAACATTTACGAAAGAAGTTCTTAACGGATTAGGTTGTGCCTCTTGATTTGATATGCAGGTGTAAGGTTTAGGTCAACTTCGTTTGTTTGAAAATAAGATTGATGTTATCAGACTCAGGGCAAATGGTTGTGGCATCCTGGCAAGGGTGCTCGCTACGTAGCTGTGTTCTACTTCACTATATGATATATGATGCGCCCTTTCAATCTATATGCTCATTCGTTTCTCAAAACCTTGAAGTTCCTCCGTTAGATCTTGGCGTAAGCCATCCAAGAGGCACTGTGAAATCTTATGGTAGGACAAGCGCTAGTGGGTCAGCCTTTACCTTTATATAGAATGGCGTGACTGCCTATTTATGTCTAACTGCTCGTCTTATATCACGTCATGATCTACAACCTCTGTAAGATTATCGGCCGTTAAATAACGTGTTTTTCGGTTGAGCCTCCTCCGTGTCTTAAATTTATCGATACTTGTATATAAGGAAAGTCAGGAGTTAAAAAGCCACTCCTAATACTTGTCATACTAATAATCATTCGATAATGATATACGCTTATCAGAACTTGTCTTTTGATTATACATTGCATCATATTAGAAAGTGATGCCCTATAACATAGTGGAAGTAGCAGTATTATTGATTATCTCAAGAAATGTTGAACTAATAGAGTTAAGCTCTCTTTCCACCCAAGGTTATCACCTTAGTGGGGAAACCACTTAGCGCCTTTACCAGTCACGTGCTCATATACACGTGACTCTCTTTAATCTCAACTTCCAACACATCATTATAATTAGGTATTTCGGTAGAAATTCCATTTCAAAGCAACCAATTTCTGTTGCAGTTCGGAGGTCTATACTCAGAGGTAGCTTTCCACGAGTGATGCTTCCTGCTCCAAACAGTGTATCCAATCGTCCAGCTAGTAAAATATTTTCAGGATAGTAGTCTAGACTAAATACTCGAGTAAATACTCGGACTATTCATGCTTTTAATTTCACGCAATTAGTGGATCACCCCGAACTTGCTCAACGGAAGCGGAGATAGTATTTCTATATCCAGCGGTGCCGGGGCTCGAGAATCGGATGTTTTATTAAGCTTGCCCTCACCCACTGCTAAAATATTATTTTTTGGTGGAAAACGTGACAGTTTTAGCATATCTAGTCCGACATAGTGCGAACTGGACGGACTAGGTAAATTTTCAATTATTTGGATGGACTATTTGAGATTCTCTTGGAATTTTGGATATACTGGCACTAATATTGTGTGATTCTGGTTTCTTCCGATGTTCTATCAACTCTATAGAACTTATGTCATAAAATGGATTGATCTTCCATTGACCCGTAATCTATAGTAGCTGCGTATTCTTCCATACCCATAAATGAAACGATTGACATCAATACAAAATTTAAAAGAAAACAAATCAAATCAAATAACCAGACAAATCAGACATTTAGCACCCTGATTGTTGTTTGTGATTGTGTGAGTTATAAAAATAGTATGCGGAAGATGCTGCAGATGCAGGAGACCCATTATTGTCAATGGTATCAACTTGCACCACCGGGCTTTGCCATTCCTTCAACCTTTGCTTGGTGAATGGAAACTCTTGTGATATCATACCCAGCCAGCTCACTCACACTTTTTTTCTTAGCCATTCTCGTCAATTTTGGACTTTCTTAGTTGAAGAAGACTGGGATCCCGTATTTGACATCGTATGTAGTGCCTTCCTCTCCTTGTCATGACTTGACCTCAAGCTAGGACAACGCAAAGGATTCAAAATATCGTGATCAGTAACATGATATACAGCGTGATCTTGACATCAATATTCGTGTATCTCGGAACTTGCCTAATTTCTGACAATTCCTTGATGGTAAGTTTGCATTTGTTTGGATATGTCGCCTATCTCAGACGACTACTCGAGTACCTTCAACAGAAATCAAAGCCCAAAGACATATTTGCAAACTCATCAGTCTTCATTCTGACACTTATCTCTGAAATTTCGTTACTCTTCATATCAAACTCGAAAAATGGATGCGAGCCAGATTTCACGAATGGTTGAAGCCGACATACTAGAACAATCACTCGATCAAATTAATCAAAATTCGCCAAATGCAGCAGCACTCGAAGAAACCATTCAAAGTCTATTAAATGCAGCAGCATGATGGAAATCACAAACATCAATAGTCGACTACCTCCTATCGAAATTTCCGTCTGTCCCGATTCCCGAGGGATCTATCCGTGCAGCCATCTACTCAACATCCACAGACGTCTTTTCAGCGCTTCTTCGTAAAGATGCCACCATTATCAATCGCCAATTCGATAGACGTCGCACATCTATTGCGTTGGCATATATGAACAAGCAACCGGTTGAGTTTTTGGAATTCATGTTAAAGGCAGGTGCGGATCCAAACCAGGATCCCGATACTGCTCCTCCGCCTTTGATCTCAGTGGCAGCTTTCTATAATGTCATCAGAGTAGCAGACGTTTTATTAGAGTATGGCACAAAGTTAGAGGGCTCCGGTGCTCTTGAGATGGCGGTAGGTAGGGGAAACGAGGTTATGGTGCGATATTTCACTGATCGTGCGGCGTAAATCGGCAAAGTGGGAGCTTAAAATAGTGTGTTCTGGATTAAGTTTATTACTGAAATATTATACACCTTGTACCAATCTTTCAAGTGGTTTAATCAAACTATCATGTATGCGGATCGATTTAGATAACTTGCATGTCCTTGACCACGAATACTCGAGTACTGGAAGTTGTATGCATGTTTCTCATGCATCGAGGCGCAGTCGAAAAAAAAGAGCAGAAGCACGTGATTTGAGAAAAATCGCGGAAACCCAGGAAACCCAGGGTAAGATCATTTCATACCCCTTCATCAAATTGGAAGTCGGTTTATCAGAGTTGACATGTAATTAATCATGTCGACACTCTATTGGTCGTATCGCGATTAATGTTCTTCATCAGGTACTGGTATGAGACATTATATATCACTCTTGGGTGTTGTTAGTCGCAGCTCACCTATTCCAACTTGTATTGAGATACATTATGATGGTACTGGTACTCGAGTATAAAGGTCAAGAGTTGGTCTTCGGTCGTTAACTTCCAATTCTCATTACTCAAACATTCATTCTCCTACAGAAGCAACAACTTCTGCTCAACTTTCAGTCATGTATCATCATATCTCTGCTTTTAGCACTTTTGCGGTGCTTGGTACTTCTTTGGCGATAGCTTCTGCTCTATCCAGCAATAGCCAAAGTAGCAATTCGACTAAGCAATGGACGTTTGATGAAGTATTTAAAACTTATTTTCTTCCCCTTTGGAATATGATATCTCGACATCAACTCTTACTGATCCTCATATGTATAGATTTCATCGTCGACCAGTCTAATCTGGTATCCATGCTTTTCTGATTTCTTTTGCGCCATGTTGGATGTAGGCAATCTTATCAAGCATTATTCTCAAATTCCAGACGCTAACATTATGACAGGTTCCTCTTGATTATTCCAAAACAAATGGAACGCGTGCCTCCGTTCCGTTAATCATGATAGCTGCTCAGAATAACTCGACCGACGGCCCATATCAAGGAATGATCCTCACGAATCCAGGTTTATATCCTCTTTTCTTCGTCCTATATCTACCTTCCCATCATGACTAATATATCTATGTGATCCTGGCGTTCCCGGCGTCGATTTTCTCCTTGAAGAAGGTTACTCTGTTCTGCTTCCAGTAGTGGGAACTAATTACGATATTGTCTCTTTCGATCCCAGAGGGATGGGTCGTAGTATTCCACTCGCCGATTGCTCATCTTCTCTTTCATCCAAAATTCGTCGACGCAATTTTGGTCTTTCAGGACCAGAATTTGACTCATCTTATTGGACTGAGGAGTTTCAAAAATCATTTGACTTCGGTGCAGAATGTAATGCAAAGATTGGAGGTTCTGATCAGGCTGGACCTCATATGTCTATGGCGGTGGTTGCTACGGATATGCTTAGTATTGTGGATGCCTTTGCTAAGACGGAACGTGGTCAAAGTGTTGAGACATTATCGCTTCTCAACTACTGGGGATTCAGTTATGGATCCTTTCTCGGTCAAACATTTGCATCGATGTACCCAGATCGAGTTGGTCGCTTTGCAATTGATGGTAAGTATGAGTTGATGTCGACAAAACGTATTGCTAATTATTTCTAGGTGTTGTAGACCCAGATGATTATATCTCCGGAGCGGAACTCGACGACATATATCTGGAAGATGCGGTCATTGATTCATTCTTTACATATTGTCATCTTGCCGGCACTTCACTCTGTGACTTCTATACAGGTAATAGCTCCGAGGACATCCGCCACCGCTTCGAAAACATTTTCCTTCCACTCAATGCATCATATGCCTTCGCCCAAAACTGGACAAATGCTACCACAATTCAACACTCCCTCGAATCAATCAAATCCACAATTAGACTCACAGCCTATACGCCTATCACCTCCTTTCCCATTTTAGCCACCCAACTTGTCGCCTATGAAGCCGCACTCTCAAATTTGACGATCGCCGCAATAGAAAGTGCTAGTAACATCGGAACCACAACCACCAACATTATCGGCACTCTTCCTGAACTACCCGAGTGGCTTCCTGGTGTTTTTTTGCGGAGAAATACCTTCAATCTATGGACAGACGTACGAGGAACTCAAGCCCGTTATCGAAACGATTGAAAAGCAGAGTTTCTTAGGTGGAGAGGTATGGGTTACGATATTAGTTCTATGTGCCGGATGGCCCATCACCGCTACGTGGAGGTTTTCTGGTGAGGAAGCCTGTCACACTTCTTACTTTTTTTCATTTGACTAACATTATAGGTCCTTTCGGGGGCGATACAAAGAATCCCATCTTATTCATCAGCAATACTCTAGATCCCGCCACACCAATCAAGAAGTAACCAGGCCATTCTTCTACCCACTCTCCTACTCCCACACCATTTCCAATATCAATATTAACACCTATTCTTCTCTTCCACAGTAGCCTTAATTGGGCTCCAAAATTCAAAGACGCACAGATCCTCACTATAGAAGCAATTGGCGTAAGTATATTTCCCCTTACCTTTCCCCTTTGCCTTATCCATTTCCAGCACACCATATTCATATTCATATTCATATATCTAATTCATGTATCCAATCTAATCCTTACCGCACACACAGCATACATCCACCGCAACCAACAATTCCTGTGCAAAGGGCAAAATATACCAATTTTTACAAACAGGTATTCTTCCAGGAAATAATGTGCGGTGCGCGGTAGAAGCTGGAGCTTTTGGTATTACTCCTGGTAGTTCTGTTGTTTTGTAGTCTGTTGATTGTTAGTACGGGAGTTTATTTTATTTTATTTTATTTTATTTTGTTATGATTCGATATAAAGGGGTAAAGGTGAGGTGAGGCGAGGTAATATCACAGAGGTTATGTTTAAGTCAGAGTTTCACATGTATACGGATTTTTGATCTTTTTATTGTTTCTTGATTTTTGGTCTTAATGTATATACTGGAATGTATATATATATCAGCCTCAATCCAACTTCTAAGTAATTGGAAACTGATCTACCTACCTACTTACCTACATACCTACTTACCTACATATACTTATCATCATTCTTTTACTCTTTTCCTTTACTTACACTTATTATAGTACCAGTCTCAGTCCCTTGAGATATTATTATATCTTATTCTACTATGATAACAACCATAACACACTAGAACCTCACCTGACCTACATTCTAATCCCAGTTCCACTTCTAATTCCGCTTCCCCAAATCCCCAAACAATAAATCAAGAAAGTCATCACATTAACCTTACCTTCCTTACCTTACTTAACCTTACATGATAAAGTTTGAGTTAGGGATACGGTTTAGATACGGGTCAGATAGTCAGAGAGATTGAATTATACTTTATCATACACAGTATTCGATATTTAATATTCAAGTGTCTAGACTCTAGAGTAGATAGATGGAGGAGGAAATGCTTGATAATATAATTATATAAATAATTATCCTACCCAGTTTTACATTTATCTAACAATTGACTAAGTAAGTAAGTAAGTAGCTTGCAAGAAGTTTTTACCCCAACCGATGATTTTGTTGTCTGTTCATAGGAGTAGCCAACTGCTTTGCGTTAATTAATCTAAACCCAGACTCAGGCTAGAGACTTTGTTATCCATTCACACACAAATATCACCCATTAGTCCTCTTCTATTCACTATCCACTAACCCCTACCCCCCACCCCATCCTCAAGCCCCCCTCAACACCCCTTCAAAAATCCCACCGATACCCACAACCACTCGTACCCGTACTAGCATAACCCCGAAACTTCAACTCCCCATCATCATCTCCTTCCTCATCCTCTCTATAAACATTATCATCATCACCATGACGCGGCCCCTTCCAAATCATCTCAACTTTTTCCTGTTGACACTTTCTACACCAAGCATGACACCCATTAATACGTCTTGGAAAGATATCTCTCGCCAGAACCTGGTCGTGTGTATAATCCATCCTATCGCGTTTTCTCTCCCGTACCTTCGTATCCCCATTCGCATCCGTATCTCCATGTTCATTCACAACCACATTCGTACTCGTACTCGTACCCCACTTCTCTTTCATCCACACTTCCTCCCTCACACCCCCATACCCTCCATACCCCCACAACAAAACCTCCTTAACCTCCCCCCAAAATTCAAAAACACCCTTCCCCCCAAATCCCTTCAACTGTGCTCCCCCAAGCTGCCTAACATCCTGTCCCTGCCCCCCTTTCATCAACTCCCTGCCCATATATCTCCACAAACCCCTAACCCCCTCCCACCTCTCTTCCCCCATTTCCTCCTCCGTCTTCCTCGTCAACGGCAACATCGGTTCCTTCTTCTTTCTCATCTCCAAGAAATTTCCTTCTTTATCCACACATTCATACGTATAAACCAATTCGCGAAAGGGAGTTACGGTTGTCGTATTAAGATATCTCCATTTGCGCTCTGAGAAAAAGGCGAGGGATTCAGAGTGTAGGGTGCTGATGAAGGAGGTGTAGTTGTTGAGGAGTGTGATGTCGGTGTAGGGGGTGTGGGAGTTGAGAGGGTCGAGAGAGGTGAGGCGGGATGCGTAGAAGGGGAGGGAGAGTAAGGTGCGGATTTGAGTGAGGGATTGGGTGAGGTGGACGGGGATTGGGAGGTCATCTTTGGGGTGTGAGAGGAGAGCGAGGATTAGGTGGGTGTGGGCGATGACTAGGTGGTGTTGATTAGTAGGTGTTTGTTTTGAGAAAGATAAAGTGATGGTAGGGAGAGGGGAGAGATTTAACAAAATGAAATAAGGAAGTTAGAGAGGGACAAGTATGAGAAATAAAAGAAAGTAAGAACATGATCAAATTATGAGATAAACAGACAGATACCATCCATCCCAAATCCCAACAACCACACATAAACATATAAAAAGAAAACCACCAATCCCAATCCCAATCTCATCCCAATGTACTCACAAAGAAATCCATGTTCCGAAATCTGCGCCAGTAAATCCATACATTGCTGATAGCACAGCGCTGCATAAAACGTTTCATGCGATTGTTTATATGAGAGATTGATCTGGTGTTGTAGTTAGTTATTTTGTTTTTGTTTTTGTTTTAGTTCTGTTTATTCCAATTCCTCCTGATCAGTGAATAACTTTACTCAACTCAATTCAACTCAACTCAACTTAATAAACCAAGCTAAGAGAGCACAGAGAGCAGAGAGAGCAAATAGCACTTGAGATGAAAGAACCAAGAAACAGCACCAAAAAAATAAAAGACACTAGATCGAAAGAAAGTGAGTACTGTACTTACTTCATCAACCATACCAATGTAATCAATAACTGGCCATTGCGTCGTCGGCATCGGTATTAGCATCGGCATCGCAGGAGTCTTTTGCTTCATCGGTGTTGCCATTGTCTTTGTCGGCATCGTAATGTAAAGTAATAGCCAAGCAAGCAAGAAAGCCAGAAAGAAAGCAAGAAAGCAAGAAGCAAGCAAACTTTCAACTGATGCTGGACTCTGTCTTTCTGTCTGTCTGTCTGTCTGTCTGAATACTCCCCACCTCCTACTTTCTGCTCTGTAGCTATGGACAGTAACTCCAACGTATCTCCAAGAAACTTGAAGTCCGAAAATGTAATGTATCTGTAGATTATTTCTCAAAGCCAGTAAGCAAACCAGCAAGCCAGCAAGCAAATAAACAAATAAATGAAATAAATATCTCCCAGCTTTCCAGAGTTCCCAAGAGATTATAAAAGTAGAGTAGGTAGTACGAAGCCCCCGAGTCAAGTTATGAGTTTGTGAATTGTAAAAAGGAAAAGAGAAAGCCAGGATTGTGAATCGGAAAGTGAATATGTATACGTAGGTATGAATTTCCAATATAGTGAATCAGTGAATCAAAAGAAGTTTTATTTTATATTGTAAAGCACAGTACAGGAAAATATTGTGTTGTATTTGTATTGAACCGGAACTAACCGATACTGGATACTCTATATTTGATACTTGATCAAAACAGTGAATAAATAAAGTGGGAATTACCTCATTCTCATCTTCACTCTCACCTCCACCTTCACCCCAATCTACCTAGTTATCTGATAGTACCATAGGTATTAACGGATCCCTCTCCCTTCTATAGTTCTATTGTTCCTGGAGAACTGGCTTATGGCAAGATTGCCCTTATCCTCATCCTCATCTTCACTCACCCTCACCCTCACCCTCATCACTCTCATCCTCACCATCCTCACCCTCATTTCCACACTCACCCTCATCCTCACCCTCACCCCCATCCTCCCTTTACCAGAACTTGAATATAACATTAACAAATAGGTACTCAACTAATTGTAGGTAGTTATCTACCTAGTACCTATCTTTTGATATAATACTCCTACTCCTTCCTACTCCTTCCTACTCCTTCCTACTCATACCAAAACCAATACCCATACCCATACTCATACCCATACCAAAACCAAACCCATGATCTCTATTATCACCTATTGTCAGTAATTGCTAATTGCCTGCTAGATATACTCGTGTATTCCCACATCATATCACATCATATCATATCACATCATACCATAATAACAATGCTTCAAATTCAAATTCAAACAACAATCCTTAATCCTTAATCCTTAATCCTTAATCCAAAATCCAAAAACAAAAACAAAGATATACCGGTATCCCTATCCCTATCCCTGTTCCATATCACATCACATCACTTCACATCCCTTAACTAGCATACATCAATAAGTCATGTGCTGAATAAACATGTAAGCATTGATCATATCATATTTCTCACCACCTACTCTTATAATGCAAGAGACTTCTTCTTCTTGATGCTATAGCTAGCTAGCTAGCTGTCCATAAACAAACATCAAGAATATTCACAAATGGTGCATACTGCCCTGCCGCTTTCCAAATTCTAATGACCTAAGATGTGATATTTCAGCTCAGCTATAATATCGATCAAGAACAAGAACATGATATGAATGATATGATCAAACTGTAAATATTGCCTCTGCATTCTGCATTCTGCATTGGTAGGATATTCATCTCATCATCTACTTATGTGCTATACCCTCAACCGGTAATGGCTCTACACCGACCTTCTCTGCCGCCAATGGCTCCTTTACATTCTGCGTATCCTCCTTCATGAAGGGAAAAGTAAGAACCTCCTTGATGCTATAGTTATCGGTCAAGAACATAACCAAACGATCAATACCCATACCCCAACCTGCTGTTGGTGGTAAACCAAACTCTAACGCGCGACAGAAATTCTCATCGACCATTTGAGCTTCATCATCACCTTGATCCTTTTGTCTAGCTTGCTCTTCGAATCTAAGACGTTGATCAAATGGATTGTTCAACTCAGTGTATGCGTTAACAATCTCTTTCTTGCAAACGAATGCCTCGAAACGTTCGCACAAACCAGGCTTGCTGCGATGGTGCTTGGCGAGTGGTGACATCATTTGTGGGTGCTCAGTGATGAAAGTGGGGTTGACACAGGTCTCTTCAATGAATTCACCAACGAGTTTGTCAAGCATACGGGCGTTAGTGAGAGGAGGCGAACACTCGACCTTCATCTTCTTGAGAACCATCTTGAAAAATTCGTTGGTCTCGGCGGTATGTAATTGATCTCCAGGGGGAAACTTCTCTCCAGTTGCTTCCTCGAGAGCTGGAATCATCTCAACACGTTTCCAAGGTGCAGCCCAGTTGACTTCATATTCTTCTCCGTGTTGAGTATGGAACTTGGTTGTGGTGCCTCCAGTGAGATTTTTGACCAGACCAGAAACTAATTCTTCGGTCATTTCCATGACATCATAGACATCAGCAAATGCCTGATAGAACTCGCAGGTTGTGAACTCAGGATTGTGTGTAAGATCGATACCCTCGTTACGGAATTGACGTCCCAATTCGAAAACACGGTGGAGACCGCCAACGACAAGCTGCTTGAGGTAAAGTTCTGGGGCTATACGCATGAACATTTTCATGTCAAGATCGTTGTGGTGAGTCACAAATGGCTTGGCTGTGGCACCTCCAGCAATTCGGTTCATCATTGGAGTTTCTACTTCGATGAAATCCCTATCAATAAAGTATTTGCGAACATAGTTGACGAGCTTGTGACGAGTGATGATTACATTTTGAGAAGAATCATTCATGATCAAATCCAGATATCTTTGGCGATGTCTCTTCTCTTGGTCCTTGAATCCGTAGTACTCATCTGGCATTTGTTGTAAGCAAGGGGTGAGGAGAATAATCTCAGTCGCGAAGATGGAAAGTTCTCCCTCTTCTCCCTTCTCAATCTTGTTCTTTGGTGCAGTTCGTCCAGGGTATCCGATAATAGCAATGGTATCACCACGACGTAGATGCTCATGTTGTTGGTCAAATGGCGGTGATCCTTCCTTGGCCTCCTGGAGTTGGCACATCACCTGAACCTTTTGTCTCTCGACCCTAACATCATAGAATACCAACTTGTTCCCCGAGGTACGCTTATTGTAGATTCTTGCTCCCAGGCGAATCTCCACATCTTTCTTATGTTCTCCAGACTTCAAGTGATCGTAATCCTTGACGAAATTCCTCAGATCATAGTTTTCGCTAAACTTGTGTGGGTATGGATCGGGGAAGCTCGATTCCTGTATCATCTTCTTGACTTGACGAGAGCGGATCTCCAAGTATTGCTGTCGACTTGAAGTTAGTGATGTTTGAGTAAGTAATTTCGAGAGATAAATACATTAGGATTCAATTCCTTCTCATCAGTTTCCGCATTGCTTTTTTTAATTGCGATAGGCTTTGGTGGTGCTGCAGCAGCCTTCTTTGCTTTCTCTTCTTCCTTTTGACGAGTCTTTTGACGCTTCTTCAATTCGGTCTTAGAGACCATCTCCCCGGTGACCTCATCGAGGAGCTTGACTGACTCTATTGACGTCGACATTGTGATTTGTTAAATGGTGGTTGAAGAATCAAAAGAGAGTCGCGGTTGGAGGGGGGTTTTAATTTTGCAAAAGTGGTGGGTTGAATTGGCGGGGTTGACTTCAAATGGTGACTCAATTATTAAAGCAGCATGGAGATATGAATAGGGCGGCTCGTGATAGTGACATTTAAAGCAGCAGCATGATTTGAATAGAGCAGCCAGAGTAAGGGGGATTTGAGCTATTTGGCCTGGGTTTTGACTTTAATAGGACAACCAAAGTCACTCAATAGCAAGAAGACAGATCAATTTTGTTCATCACATCATTTCACTATTTCACGATATCGAGTATATCCTCATCAATGTTTGTATATATGAATCATGTATGACATCTGTTCTGCATTAAATACATCTCGCCACCCACTAACCTCTAATGCATTTTGAATATCGACGCCAGAAAACACCCTTTACCCATCCATGTATCATTAACCATTGCATCCATCATGTATTCATGTATTCATATTACAAATCATATCATCAGCAAGAGATAAATGAAGCCCCAACTGAAAACTCCCAAAATTATCTGAGCGCGGTGCATATTCATGAATATCATCAGATGTTCGTTAGTTCGTCATCAATCACCTAAGCCATCAAAGCAGCCAAACCACCCGCAATACCTGCTAAGCCAAAAGCAATTGGGATCTGAGCTTGTTTGCCCGCAGCACCTGTGGCAGTAACAGGAGTGCTAGTGCTAGTAGCTGAAGCATGACCGCTTTCGGCGCCCGATTTGGTGGCGGTGACTGTTGATGCCTTGCTTGTGACGGTTGTAGATAAGGCAGTTGTGGTAGATGTGGTGCTGCCAGAAACAACGGTGACAATACCAGAGGAGCTGGCAGAGGAGCTGGCAGAGGAACCACCGTCGGATGGTCCAGCGGTTGTTCCGAGGGTTCCGCCTTCGACAGTATCAGGAGCAACGGAGGCGGAAACGAGGGCTGCGGCGGCTTGGTACTTGGTGAGGGTTTGGTCGGGATCGGGGTTATTGCCGACGATGATCATCGCGGACATACTCTTCTGGCAGTCATCGGCAACCGAGCTGTAAAGCCACAAGGTACCGTTGTTCTTGAGATCCAGAGTCCAGGTAGGGTTCTAACGAAGCAATTTGGTTAGCATGAATTTGTGGATAGAAATCGCAGTACAATACATACAACGGCATCAGTACTGTCAGGAGATGGACCCTCAATAACACCTGAGAAGACTGGAGCATGGTCAGAAGGAACACATGGCTTGTCGTAGGTGCTTTGTGCGACGCTATGGTTGCCGTTGAAAACAAATTTAACCCTATATTAATGTTAGTGACCTTTCATCGGAATTATATGAGGGATGACATACGTATCGCCAACTTGAGCAGTCAAGGCATCACGAACAAATGTAAGTCCGCTGCCACCAACAGCAATACTGTACTGAACTGCCATGGCACTGGAAACAAATGCGAAGAGGGCGATGATAGATTTCTGCATCTTTGCGATTGAGTTTGTTTTTATATGTGACGAGTAAATGGGTTTGATTGCAAGTATCGAGTGAAAAGGTAAACGATCTGTGCGAGTCGTGGAAGGAAGAGAGTATTGTAAAGTTATGGAAGTTGTTACAAAAGTTGTAAGGTAAGTTTGAATCTGTTAATGAAGTTGTTAAGAAAAGAAGAAAAAACTCCAACGCGGTTCCCACGAACTTTATATCTCCCTCCCCCATCCCAAGCACCATCCCGAAGATCTGGATCCCGAACTCAGCCTTACAAACTGTTTGCACCAAAGACACATTCACCACATTCACCCGCCTCCAACCGGGTGATTCGTTGCTTCGCCTGTCTTTTGCATTCAGGTACCATATTACTGTGCCGCCGCGCCACTTGATTAAGAGATGCATTTACAAGACAATATCCCGAATTTCTTATTAGTTGTACTTCGCCGCAGTCGCGGTATTGTATATACAGTATTGGATATCAATTCACTAATGCAATCAAATACAATACTTCTTTTTCATTCATCGAAACTAAATAGAATGTACTGATATTTCCCTTTCCTTTCCGATTCAAAATTAAATACAACATAGCACAATATATCCACAGCCACCCCCCCTCCTCCCCCTTCTCCCCCTTCCCCCCCTTCCCCCCCAAAAAGACGCAGCCCAGTCCAGTTCAGTCCAGTCCAGTCCAGTTGTACATTTCACATTTGACGCAGGTACTTGTACAATCTCATACCATATTATAAACACAAGCCATAAACACAAGCCACGAGCAACAGACCCCGATATATCTATTTCGTTTCCAACACCTAGTACACCACACCCATCACAACCACACCAGCCCAACAACGCCCCAATAACAAGCACCCACGCTTCCACAGCCATTATTGTCATACCAACAGCAACAGCACAGTAATATAATAATACGACAATAAACAGTAACAGCACAGTAACATAATAATACGACAATACGATATTGATATCAAGTACGAGTACAGGTACAAAAAAGTAAGACGAGGTTGGGCTTATATATATCTATCTATCTAGTTTTTTCCAACTGAGTATCTATTTATATATATATATACTCGAGTTTATATACAAATAATACTCAAGTACAACTATGCCGCTTTGCTTTTATATATTTTTTGTATATACCTAGGTAGAGTATTTCTGCATAATAGATTTTATCTATAACTCCAATATATTCAAGTATTCAAGCATTCAACCCTCCAACCCTTCAATCAAATTAGACCAAGATACCTTAGATACCTTAGATACCTCACTTAGATGGTCATGAGCGACTCAGTACGATGGAAATTACTCGTATAGAACTCGCGATTTTCATTCACAATTTCATTTCCATCTTGTGATATCTCTAGGTTTTTCATTTCGGTATTCTTTCATCTAACTTTTGATTTGATTCATCATTCATCCAAGTTATATGCAGGTACGTAGGTAAGCAACATAACACATTAACAGCATCAACAGCATCAAAAACAAGCACACATATCAAGCACACACATCAATCATATCGTATCGTATCAAACCAAATCATATCATATCAAATCCTATCATATCCCACTACAATATACATCAAACTACTCGAGTACTCATAAACCAAAGCAAATCGCTCAATCGCTCAAACACCACAGTCAGTACATCAATCTATACTCGAATCCCACACATGACCCCATAACACTCACTATCCCGACCGCGACCTTGATCTCACCAATTCCCGATTGCGAAACGTTGTTCGGAAGTCTAGCTGTCGCACAAACCACGAATTATGTAATGTCCATTCTCGTTCCGGATATTCGAGTTTGATCTGTTGTACATGGAAAAGATTTAGGTCAGTATATCTCTTTCATCTATTCATCTAATATCTTCATCCCATCATGCTCTTCACAACTCGAGACGAAAGATATAAAAGAAGAAAACAGAAAGAAAGAAAAGAAACACATACCTCAAATCTCCTCAACATACTCGGCACCAACTTATAAATCTCCAACAAACTGATATTCCTCCCAATACACGACCGAGCCCCCATCCCAAACTGCAACATCGCACCATTCATCTCCTTGATTTTATTATCCTCCACCTCTCTTTCCCTCTTCCAATCTATCCCCCCTTCTCCACCCACACCAACCAACCATCTCTCCGGTCTAAACACCTCCACATCCTCTCCGAATATTTCTTTCCTATGATGAATAACCCAAGCACTACACCCCACCACCGTCCCACCTTTCACCCATTCCCCCGCAATTTCTACGCCTGGTTCTGGTACTACTCTTTCTAATGGTAGTCCCGGTGCGGGATGTAATCGAAATGCTTCTTTGATACATGCATCTAGATATGGTAAACCTTGACTTTCCGTCCAACTTACTAACCCTTTTTCCTCGTCTTCGAAATATCCTTCTTGAGCTTTCCCGTCGATTTCCTGCATCAATTTTTCCATGCACCTTTCATTTTTCAATAAATAATAAAACACTGCACTGAGAGAAATAGCCGTCGTTTCCGATCCTGCGAATGCCATGGAAACAGCCATCGTCATAACGAGTTCATCGGTCATAAATTCAGGTCTATCGTGTTTTGCCTGGATAAACTTCGACAATAAATCAGGTTGTGATTTAGTGGTTTTGACTTGCGCGTCTGTAGTAGGTAATATTCCATTTCCATCCGTTTTAGGATATCGTTCCTGAACTCGCTGCGCCGCAAATTTGGCCACAGGGAATGTAGCATCCACAAGGCCAAATTTGGCAGCTAGAAGATATAGAGGATTCTTGAGGAAGAATCGATCGAGAATGGGAATTTGCCCAATCGGCGCGACATAATCGAAGAGTTTTCCTAGATAAGATATTATACCATCGACATCTCTGTTCTCTTCGAGGAATCCATGTCGTTTAGAGTATGTCATTTCACCGATCACATCGAACGCGTAAAATTGTAACCATTTTGCGAAGTCGCAAGATGAATGATCGCTGGGCGAAGTAAAGAGCTCGGCGGTGCGAGAGAGGAAGATTTCCGTGGTACGGGTGACGAGTGGTTCGTACTGGACCAGCGTGGACATGCTAAATGCAGCATTGACGGAGCGTCGAAGTTGTGCATGAAAAGGTTCGGAAGTGGTGCTAAAGAGTGATGGCAGTGCATGTCCATTAGATACAGATTGTTGAACAGGGTAGAACTCGGACTGTAGTGCATCAGTATGCTGTCTGACATATAGTGGTTTAATATTTTAAGATACCTTGACAAAGCCCTTATTCAATCCATAGATGGTTTTGAGCGCCTTTGGATCCGCAAATGAAAGGGTATTGGGACCAAGACGAACCACATCTCCATGTTTGGCATGTAAATTTTGATGTGTGACTTCCGGACGACGTTTGTATACATCATAGAACCTCCACCAGTTTGTAAATGAGGCAAGAGCCGGCCCTGGATATTTGTTCAGACCACGGTTGTAACGATTACAAGCAAGATAGATGGTGAAACCAACAATCAATAGCGAAAGCCACTGCTGAATGGCCAGAGTAAGAAGCGTATCTGTAATCATTTTATTCGCGTCGTGAAAGAATGGTAGACCAGAAGAAAGCTGACCCTCTAGAGGCACGGCACAACTTATAATTTATAATAGAACAGTGATAATTGAGTTGACAATGATGGGACTTCGGCAAATATAATCGTCACGGGATGGAAATTCAATAGTGTGGAACACTTCAATGCCAGAGAAGGGTTGGGTTCAATGTCGGGAATCAAAGGGAAGAAGGGGTCGGGGATTGTAGAATTGTTTTATGCAGCTTCACTAGAAGCTTTATCGACAAATGTGATGACAGTGAACGCTTAAAAGTAAAAATGAGGAAGTACTTTACTTTGATCAATTCCCTGAGCGAAGGAATACATATATGATATCAAATATGCAGTGTGATGATAAACGACCGTGAAGACACAGATGTCATAATATCCCGCCGCACGTCGAACCATTTGCCATAAACCATTTGCCATTTGACATTTCTAAGCAATTTAAGGGACACTGCATCTTAACTCGCCAATGAAAGTATCGTTATAGCCAAAATAGCATACACTAGAGTCACCGATCTCAAGCTTTGAGATAGACGTCACCCTTAAGAGCAATTGCCGAATATTGTTTTTGTTTCATTTGAAGAAAAGGACGAACGAGGTGGGTGCTAGCGCTTACGAACTGCTTGGAATCTGAATAGACTTAAGCAACTTCATCCACTTGCGGTTGCGCCAGTGCTCGGGTAATTCCTTAAATCCCGCTGTCAGCTTACTCGATCAGCAGTATCAACGTTATCGGCAAGTAGCAACGGGTATAAGGTGCTCGAAGCCATTCAGGAATTGGAATGATTGCATCCTTCGATCAATGAGCTGGATAATAGCATATATTAAGAAGAAAAGCCGATCATTCGTACACGTAGCGTCTGTCATAAACGGATGTAGAATTATATACTCGTAGTAGATACTGGATGTAGGCTGCCGAGACTGCCGAGACTGCAATCGTATGTATTCTACACGGATAATCACCCGCACCCACTTACTCCATAGTACATACAGTCTTCAAAATTGAGGTGGGGAACTAAATTTTGTGGGGAAGCTTGAACACGAAATGTTCTAAAAAAGGAAGATATCGGTAGTTGCAAGAGAGAATACTTGCCGAAATGTCCAACGCAATCATCAATTCGTTTTTTCTACATTGGTGGAAATCTCTCGAAGCATAACAGTTGGTGTGACAAATCATACACGGCAGTTGTGAGTTGTTGAATTTGTGGATCATAGTCAATGCATTTCGTGAGGTTCAAGGCAACATCATTCCTCACGAAGAAGGGAGCGCGGCAATGGATTCGATAACTAAATAGGAGGCATTCAGAAGAGATTCAAGACTGAAAGGAAAAGATGTCCATTTCCTAGGCGGTGAATGAGGAGCAGTTTAGACGGAAAACTTCCAAGGTGCGGAATTCTCGAACGAGCCCAGTTATTGATTGGCGTATTTGATGGCGGAACGATTGTGGTTATTTCGATCCAGACATTTATATGTGCGATTTGGTGTTGGGCAATCGTCCGATGCTAAGTGTCCATGTGGGAGTTGAGTTGGGAGAACCAGTGAGAGTTGGAGCTAGATGTTAAGTTGGAGATCAAGACAGGAAATGATAGCATACCCAAAACATTTGCTGGATGATAAAATGCTGTAACATGCTGTATCTTTCACACATTGGGATAGTTGAATCCCGTGGAAAAACTGGCCCCCATTTCAATTTCACCCCTTCACTCTGTGAGACAGGCACTTACCTGAACTAATACTTGAACATTGTTTAAGATGTACATTTTTTTGTTTGACAGAACCTCGCTCAAGGATTCAGGTTCGTCAACCACTGCCGGTGGAGCATGTAAACATCGTCAATTTGACCTCGAAGCTGGAACATTTGATATGGTGTTCTGAAGAGGGCTCCCCGCACGACAATGGCCAAGCTCTATTCAAGCCTTGTTCCGTGCTCACTGCTTGTATATAAAACTCCACGCGCCGCATCCAGATTGTCATGTATAGTATTGTCAGTCGTGAACTGCTTCTCTGCGAGATCTGAAGACTTGGCATGCTTGGGATATCGGGTGACAGGATGTACGGGCCATAGATTTCGATTTCTATTTCCATGTTTAGGAGAGGAATAAGAGTGTCGAAGATCGAATTATAGGTTGAGATTCGATATAGAGGAGCAGGGTGTCGTCGTGGAATTGGAGGAGAAGTGCCTGGATGATGTTTCGATTCTCGAATGTCTCGGAATACTAATCATCATCTTGATTTCCACTATTCAAATATTTTCGGCGTGCAGAGATCTTATTGGGATAACTGGCATTTGAAAAAGTATTTTATTTGGGTAACTCGGGAAGGCAATTTATGGCTGCTTCTCACAGGTTGCTGTCAGTGGGTGTTGCTTGCTTAGTCATCATATCAGTGCTTAGACATCAACTTCTCATTATGGATTCACCACTCCTTCCTTCTGATTATTATGGCCACAAATACATGGAAACCGAAAGTTCGGTCGTCTGAATATTGAGAAATTACTCTTTAGATGTATCAATACGTTGTGCATGATGCATTTGGACATGAATGGTTTCATGTGTGTTCTGGTCTTGAACTTTGCTTTCCAAAATGCATACACTTGGACATTGACCCTTTTGAGAGACAAGTTATATATCGTAAGAATTTCTGGTGTATATATACATAAGAGCCACTCATCTGCATTCATCTGGAGGCACTGTATGATTCAAGGGCGCTTTGGAGGTCTCGAGGGAGCGTTGCAATTGGATCCAGTCTGAGAGTTCAGTCTTGTCGACATTGCACCTTGGATTCAGTTGAGTACAACTGCCATGTGTTTCGTTGAATAAATGTCTCTCGTCATCTCTCATAAGGACTGACCTGGCGATTGTTGCTTGAAATTTATTGAGCTTTGTGGGAATATTTCGCGCATTGGGCTGTATAGGAAGACGGACTACTGGTAGATGATTGGAATTGTCGCAACCCAATCTCTAGAGGTTTAGCAGCAAGTGTTGATTCACTTTGAACAAACTCGAACGCTGTGAACGCACGGCAATACCAGCCTTCTACTGTTTCAGGGCCGTCAAATGTGTCAATCGTGTGCGCTGGCATGTTTCCATGGCAGAATAAGCAAATAATCTTATCGAGTGCGAGGAGCGTCGTATTTGCCACACAATCCACAATAGCCGCAATCATATCTGGATATTTAACTTGAGGTCCAGTGAGATCGAAGGAATCAGAAACAACATGGGGCTCGACTCTGCAATGTATCCATGCTTTCATATTGATGTATATTCCTAGTATTTTATCCATTAAGAAAGGATCAAAACTGGATAGGAATGCACCGGATCTCTTTTGAAACGAGGAAACGTCCCTGAGAACACTGGGTAGTTCGAACAAAAGATTGCACAACTCAATGCGTAGTTGTAGGGACTTGAGTTCCTTGGCGGTGATTGAATCGCTGGGCCATGTAGAATTGGTGGTAAGTAATGCCCTCCACTCGGACTGGCGAAGATAGCAGTCTTCTTCAGACTTAGCAGATTGAACAACCTGTATAGCGAATCATATGTCAGAAGTTGCCAGATTCACAACAGGAATTATGAGGATTCTCATACAATATAACTCAACTGAGATTCAAGCATTCCAAGATCAAATGGATCTTTATATCGCTCAACACCACGTCTTTGAATAAGCTGAGCAGTCCCTCGAACGAGATCACCCCATTTGCCTTTATCGACATTCACAACGAGCTTTTTATTCGTTAGTGTCTCGAGCACAACCTAAGGATGCAATATGAAAACTTACTTCACACATCTGCAACAGAAGAGATGCACATAAGGTTTCTGACCGCAACCGAAGATACTCGTCGGCCAAGCATTTTCGCAACGAAGACAAGGCTCGGACGTATTTCTTGCAGATGAGCTTGGACGCGGTATATTCATTCGAAGATCGATCGCAATATATACTGCAGATACATGACATTGCATCGTCCAGAGCGCTGCTGCGACCTAATCGACCGGGTACATATTGGAAAAATGATCCAAGTAGCCAGAGAGGAACTAGATCCCCTTTTACTCTACATCCTAGGCAGAACGACAACTTAGTAGCCAGGGGATTATCGCCATTAAATCGGGGAATTCCGAGTGAGAAACCTTCGAAGTCTTCTAGAATAAACATATCTGAGCTAGTTTTCCTAGAACTAACAATGGTTTCATCTGGGCCAATCACGTCTATGCTCGTAGCATCGCAGTCATAGACATATTTCCTGTGTGAATACATCTTCGCCAGTCTAGCCGATTCGTCCATAAACTTCCAACGGATTGGATACCCTGGACAGTCCCAACCACTACGGATACATTCTGCGCAAGATGGACGTTGCTCTCCACACTTTAGTCTCGTGTGGTTAGCACAGATCTTTTACTAATTAAAGTGACATTTTATCTAGAAGGAAGACTAACCTTCTTCTTCCTCTTCCGACAATTATCACATCGATTACTTGTTGGAACACCGACCATGGTGAAGTGCCGGGCTTAGTTATTGAAAGGTTCTCGATCCCACTCTAGTTTAGCATTAGCCAAAAGTTGAATGGGGAGCGTATCATCTTGAGAAAGTGTGTGAGGAGAGGTAGGATCCGTGGACAGTCCGATATTGTGGCGCTGTCATCGTGGCGCACTAGAACACAGCATGCCATATCATGACTAACGTATTCCAGACCCACTTTCTAAAGCAGTCATATCTTGCGCAGCGACGAATCACAAGTTTTGTCTCAGTGTCTCGGGTTTTATCGTTTGCACGCACCGGAAAAGGATCGCGTAAGATGGGGTGGCCCTCTCTATGCCATCGCAAGATGAAGCCCTTCTCAGCGAGAAATATGTGTTTGTTTTTACGGAACGGAAATAACAGTGGCTTTCTTTGCTTGTTGGCTGTTCCTTCGGTTCCGTAATGGAGTTCGAAAACATGATTGTCATCTATGTAGATAGATATATAAAGAGTCAATTCTTCATGATGTAGGTATCAAACAACGAGCTCCCTTCCTCAAATTCTATATATTTCTTTCAATCCTTTCGCCAAGCAAACCACCAGAAAGCTCTTATCGATCAATCTAGGATCCCATCTTCCAAGAACAATCATGCCAATCCCAAGAATTGCCATCGCTGGTGCCGGACCTGGTGGGTTGACCTTAGCCCGTCTCTTCCAGCGCAACGGCATCACATGCACCATATTCGAGCTTGACGTCGATCGCAATGCTCGTTCGCAAGGTGGTCTCATCGATCTTCATGCCGATATGGGCCAACGTGCTCTTCGTGAAGCCGGTCTTATCGAGGAATTCCAGAAACACATTTTGCCAGAAGCAGACTCCAAGAAGTTGATGAAAGCTGATGGTACTATCGCGTGGGATGAGAATGAAAAGGATGAGGAAAAGGACTTTCACCGTCAGGCTAGAGATTGCCCTGAGATTGATCGCGCGAAACTTCGTGATATTCTCTTGGATTCTGTTGAGCCTGACTCGATTCAATGGAATAGCAAGATTACCCGCGTTGAGTCTAACAAGGACAATCCCGCCCAATTCGATGTTCATTTCGCGGAAGGCGTTGCAGAAGCATTCGACCTCGTCGTTGGAGCTGATGGTGCCTGGTCAAAGGTTCGACCTCTTGTCTCGACACAGGTTCCTGAGTACTCTGGTGTTGTTATGATTGAGATGATGGCCTTCAATGTTAGCCAGAAGAAGCAGTGGCTTTCTGATTATGTCGGCAATGGCAGCTTCTTCATGTTCGATGAAGGTCGTTGTCTTATTTGTCAACGAAACGGCTATGATGGCATTCGAGTTTACGCAGGGGTACGTCAACCTGAGTCTTGGATTGAGGATTGTGGTATTGATTGGGAAGATCCGATCAAGGCACGTAAACAGCTCACGGAACAATACTTCGGAGATGTGCATGAGGATTTGAAGAGGCTCATGTCCGAAGCGTCCGATAGTCTTCTTGTTCGATCATTGCATATGCTTCCGGTTGGGTTCAAATGGTCATCTCGTCCTGGCGTTACACTTCTCGGCGATGCAGCTCATTTGATGACTCCGTTCGCTGGAGTTGGAGTCAATATTGCTCTGGCCGATGCTATGTTGCTTGCGCATGCTTTATCGAAGCAGAAAGATAACTTTGAGGCGGATTTGGAGGGAAGCTTGAAGCAGGCTATCCAGGAGTATGAGGATCAGATGTTTAAGGTTGCGAAAATAAATATGGAGAAGACGTATCAAGGGTTAATCAATCATTTCAGTGCGGGTGGTATTGAGCATAGGGTGAAGCATATGCAGAAGTTGCAGAAACTGCAGGAGAGTGCAACACGTATCGAAGCGGCTAGGAAGAATGGAACTATGGTTTGATATTGAGGTTTCGTAGGAATCGAGCCAATGGTAGACACTGGATCTTTGGGATTAAGCTAGACATAGAAAAAGTGTAGATTGGAAGAATAGAGCAATTTTCAAAGTAGACTGAACATTTAAATAGAGTAAAAATCGAGTATACAAAACTAAAGTAGACACAATAATACTAGATATAGCATAGTATTGAAGAAAACCGAATTAGATGTTGAACAACACGTGTACCGGTATACTGATGAGTTAGGGCAATGGTTGTTTAATATCAATGTCCAAGATTAGCCTGGATATTGATGAGATTTAGACATTAAATTAGGGTGGTAGCAGGTTTGATGCTCATAGCTGAATTAGACATTCATTCAAATAGCTATAGCTGTCGGAATTCAATCTTCGGAGCCGAACTAATCTCACTCCAGTAAGCAGAGCGGAATAAAAAGTTGTTCCTGGAGCTTATATCGGAGATAATTCGCCAGCATTATTAACGCCGAATTATATCCATGCGAAAGCAACACGTGCATTTCAAACCCTGGATTACCAATCACTTTGCAGCCTTCACATGCTAACCCCTCCCTTGACAACGAGATCTTTGTTCGCGACTCTTTCTTAACCAACCAAACATAGCAAGAAATACAACCTATGGGAATGTCTCCATGAATGATGACTTACTTTTATCACTCCTCAAATATTGAGCTGACTGTTTTCCTTCGTCCTATTCCACCTTGAATACCAACCCTTCTAAACGAAAGCCATATTGGCATGACAATAGCCAAATACAACTTTACATAAATCGCAATGGCGTTCCAGCTAGCGACAGAATGGCATGCCGGAGAAGAAGAAATGCAGAAACGTCTACGAGTACCTCAGGGCGAGAATCCAACCTCACCATACCTTTCACCATACGCGGCGAACCTTTTGACACGATCGCCGTTACTTGCCCTAGGCACACTTGATTCATCCGGCAGACCATGGACTACATTATGGGGTGGGGAGGCTGGTTTCGCGTGGCCGGTCGCTCAATCTGTTATTGCTGTGAAAGCTACAGTTGACCTTGAATACGACCCGGTTTCTGAATTCTTGCTGGGCAAGAGTTCGAATGGACAAATCAAACGTGAAGATTCACCTGGGAGAATGGTTGGCGGTCTTGCGATCGATCTTGAATCAAGGAAAAGAGTTAAATTATATGGTAGGATGGCTGCAGGTACATTAAAAGAGACCGCTGGAAATGGCGTGGCGGAAGCGTCGTTGGTTGTCAAAATCGAACAAAGTCTGGGTGAGCTTGTTGTTTATTGGAAACTATTTTTGTATACTAATATAACTACAGGCAATTGTCCCAAGTACCTGAATAAAAAGCACATCATTCCTCGAGTACCAAAGCCCACATTGGTTTCCGCTTCAATACCTCTCCCCAAAAAAGCAGCTGATTTGATAACACGATCTGACTTATTCTTTATCTCATCCTCGAATCACGATTCGGACATGGATACAAATCATAGGGGTGGACCACCAGGCTTCGTACGAATCTTATCCAACGATGCCAACGGGCTTATAATAGTTTATCCCGAGTATTCTGGCAATCGTCTTTATCAAACACTCGGGAACCTTACAACCACACCTCAGGCAGGATTGGTATTCCCAGATTTCAATACGGGCGATGTTGTGTACCTTACTGGAAGAACAGAAATACTAGCCGGGGAAAAGGCGACGAACTTGATTTCACATACCAATCTTGCAGTCAAGATATATGTCGAAGATGTTAGATATGTCACAGACGGATTGAGTTTCCGAGGTGAAATAGGTGAACGCTCACCTTACAATCCACCAGTACGCTTTCTAGCTTCTGAGGCCGCTGCTGGGGTCAAAGATACAGGAAAGAAAACGCACGCGAAACTCATTGAGAGGAAGATCTTGTCACCAACTGTGGGAAGATTTCGGTTCAAGATTCCGGATGCAGATAAAACCCATCTTTGGAAACCTGGTCAATATGTCGCATTAGACTTCAAAGACGAACTTGATATTGGTTATAGCCACATGCGTGATGATGATCCAAAGAGTTTGAACGACGATTACATCCGAACTTTTACTGTGTCTTCTCCAAAGGATTCTACAGATACATATGATCAATTCGAAATTACAATCCGCAAGGTTGGAATTGTCACTGATTTCCTCTTCCGTCATAATATCAGATCAGAGCTGGAAGTACCACTCAACGGATTTGGAGGAGAATTTTTCATTGACCAAGGCGCTGAAGGAAAAGTTTCTTTTGTTGCTGGGGGTGTGGGAATAACGCCACTTCTTGCTCAAGTTCCCGAATTGGATTTATTACGATTGCAACTTTACTGGACTGTTCGTTTAGCTGACCTAGGATTGGTTTTGGACACCTTCGAAAAATATCCCAATCTCGCGAGTCATACAAAATTGTTCATCACGGGTGAAATGGGAGGTTGTGATGGCATGAATGAATCAATCTGTCTCAAAAAGTTACGAGAATCTGGAGCTACTTTGCAAGAACGAAGAATTGAAAAAAATGACGTTTCTGAGGATTCTGCAAACCGATGGTACCTATGTACTGGGACCAGTTTTCGAGATACTTTGTTGGATTGGCTGAAAGGAAAGCAATTAAGCTATGAGGACTTCAATTACTAGAAGTGCTGATTCTAGTTAACAAAAATCAAACAATTGTTCGCAAATGAACACCATTTTCTTTGTGCTCTTTATCTTCCTTTGATCGTGAGGTGACCTGGTTCAAAATGTACCAGTGAGGTTTTAAGAATTGCATAGCTCGCTACATTCCTTTGTGCCTATCTAGAAGATTTATCTAATCCGTCCAGAAGCTTAAACCTCACCATCTTCAACATCAGTTTCTTCGCATCAATCACAATTTTAAGATCCCAATCAACATAATGGCAGCCAATAACGTTCATTCTACCCCCATCCAGCCGAAATACATTCTCCGCAACCCCTTTGAAGTCGGTGAGAACACTAAGAGCATACAACTAATCCGTATCAAAGACAACGAATCCTTCCTCGGTTTCCCCATCCCGGACAAAAAAGTCTCAACTCCCAAAAACCCCGAATGGAAAACCAGTCTCGCCTCCGCCATTCTTCCCACAGCCGGTGTTCCTATCTCCCGTATTCTCAATCACCCCAACATCATCGGCCTCGTCGACATAATCCACACCGACTCCTTAGCTGGCTCCACCAAACACGCCGGCATAACGGCCAACATCGCCGTCTACGAAGACATGAATCAAGGCTCCCTCGATCTCATCCTGCCCAACCCGGAAGTCTACCCCAAATTCACCGATATGGCCGCCTGGCGCGCCCTCGCTACTCAGAACCCGAATCGCTTTTCTCTGCCTGAAAGCTTGTGTTGGCATGTCTTGTCGAATATCAATAAAGCGCTGTTGTGGTTGCATACGGGGGTTAAACAGACGGATTCTAAGGATGATTGGCAGAAACATGATGATGATTGGCAGCCGATTTTGATCAGGGATGTTAGTCCGAAGCAAATCTGGTTTAAGAGGGTGGGTGGGGGTGCCACGTATGGGGAGTGTAAGTTGGGGGGGTTTGGGAAGGCGGTTGTTACGGGGTTTCCGGGGGGGGATGTGGCGAAGAGTGAGAAGAAGGAGGGGATGGGGTGGTGGTATCAACCTCCGGTTAGTTAGCTGGTTTGATGATTGGGTTTAGGGAGAAAAATGCGCTGATGTTGATTACATAGGAACAACTCGCCGGCACCGAAACGTGGGGGCCAGCCTCGGAAATTTGGGCCCTAGGCGCAACGGTCTATACGATGATGACGGGGATCCCACCGCCCCAACAATTCGATTACAAGTGGACGATCTCGAGGTTGAGCGATAAGGAATTCACGAGTGGGTTGAGGGAAATCGTGTCGGATATGTTGAAGACGAGGAGTAGTGAGAGGCCTACGACAGCACAATTGGTAGGGCGCATTGAGCAGGGGTGGGAAGATTGGAGGGAGACGGATGATGCGATTGGCTATGTGGATTGGAAGGATAAGAGTAAGGGAAAAGAGGTTAATTTGGATGGGGAGGTGGAGGAGATGGGGATGCCGGGGTGGGGCATTATTAGTGGTGGGAGGTGAGAGGAGAGGCTTGGGTTTTGGGGAGGCGCAGACGAGTACTTGTGTTAGATGGTGATGCGGTCAAATTCTTTGGGGATGTTTTGTGTGTTTTGTCAGCTCACGAATTATTGAGATCAGTTGGGAGTTTATATTTCGGGTTGGAAGTACAGTCTCATTAACTAATGCTTGCTTGTTACATATATCACCTGTTATCTTATTGAATTATACTTTATGCAAGTAATATTCTTTATCCTTTATTGCTCATACTTACACAGGAGCTAGAACTTCTCGTACAGCCCACGAAATAATACAATGTGAATATTCCATTCCCACTCCACTCTACCCGCTTCGGTTCGGGGTCTCATCTTCACATTGGGCTTTTGTGTTATACGGTACTGTACCTTCGTATTGTGATCTATACCATACCATTGGCATTAATTAATTGGAACGGTATGTCTGAATTCCCATGGAACACCATTAATTGGTGTATAACCTTAATTATACATACGTTTAGCGAATCTCCCCCTTCATTATCAATTATCAAGGGTTTCTCAAAGTTCAAACTAAGAGTCCTATACTACCTTTACAGCCCTACCACTTGCACCCAAAACACCCGCTTTAGCCTTCTCCAACTTTTCCTCTCTCTTTTTGCTCTATAATCAATAGTTGTAGTATTCATGGTTTCCACCTTATATGTATGCTGTGATTGAAGCCAGAGCACAAACTAAATCCTTCTCAAATTTCAATAACGATTCTCTTATGCGAGTTCCCAGTGGTCTATGATGTGATTTTGATTCGCCTCCTGTTGTCTTTTATACGATTGGAGCTGACAGATTTCCCCAAGATTGTATAGCCTCTGCTCTTACCATGCTGTATTTATATCGTCTTTTCTCATCGCAGATATCACCACCGGTTCTTTCCACCAGTCCGGGAAGAAATTACTGTCCATATTCGATTCACAACTCATATATCTTTCTCGGCACTGATCCATCCGTGACTAAACGGGCTTTTACACTCTAATAAGCATAAACGACATTGATTTTGCCGCATGAGTTACTTTTGAGTATCTAATCGCTCGACCAATGACTTCGGAATAACTGAAATCAAATTCCACCACGCTTGATTGTATTTACAATTTGTCAATAGTAGCAACAATAACAATCAGGGATAAGCTAATCCAGGAGCTCCATACCTGAATAGTGTCGCTTCCGTTAGTTACTGGCATAGTTTGGGCACACATCTCGTTTACTGCAATAGTGATGAGAAAAGTAAAGTGCCAATCATAGTGATTATAGGGAAGAAATATGACGCAATCACTCTCGCCTTCAAATATGACTAAAAACGAATTGTATGCGCGGATTACTTTTTATGCTTTCATGTAGCTACGATAAGACTTCGTTCACTAATAAAGATTTGCTCTACCTTGACGCGCGAACATGAGCTAAGCTCAACAAGCTCTCTGTTCGTTCAGGAGACTACCTGGTTCACAAACTACTCGATTATATGTGGTATAAGCATCTTACAAGCAGAATAACGAAATACCCTATCACAAATAGATTGAGTAGAAGCCAAGCCAAGCCAAGCCAAGCAGGCTTGAGGTTGTGAGCGAGATAATTATGGGTGATGGATGTTTTAGATGGAATGTTGCTCTTGTGAAAAGAAATGCAAGGGGATATTTCCAGAGGTGAGCTGTGACTTTTATATTTATGACTCTATTAAGCAAGCAGGAATGACTAATGAATCGATAATCTATTGCTTGGATCATCAAGGTGGGGGCTTGTGTGTATCACCACACCGAATTCAACAGATCATCATCTTGATGCCCGGGGGATGTTATGCACAATTGGTATATTCATTTCTTCAGAAAGTAACGAAAGCTCTTAGTAATCACCAAATCCTCTTCGCCGCCATCTCATACCTACTAATCTTCGAAAAATCATGCACATCCCCCACCTTCTCCTTATCCCTGGCCAACCTTTCTTTTTCTCTCAACTTCTTCAAGGTCTCTGGATCATCATCATAAATCCATCGTTTCTTATCATCATCCACTTCCACCATGCCCCAGCCACCCACCCTCTTCCCACCCGTCTCATAGCTTCGATTCTCGCGCTTTTTCATGGTTCGGTAACGATTACGTGCGAATTTTAATAAGAGCATGCCGAGCACGAGTTTGCAGGCGAGGAGCACGAAGAATGCGCCGAGGAAGAAGACAATCATGGTTAGTGATGCGATTACATCGTCGGTGCTGGGTAGATACCATGGTGTGATAGAGTCCGGGTTTGGTAAGCCGAAAGTTGAGCGACCGAGGGCTTTGCGGACGATGGTATCGAAATGTTCGAGGGCTGCTGTTGTGGCTGGAGAGGATTCGGCGGATAAAGATGTTGCAGTTGATGGAAGTGGGGGAGGGAGATGAGTGGCGAGAAACATGTGATACGTTTGAAATGCAGCTCGGATGAAGAGACACGAAAGTGGGATCACTGGAAGACCCAGACGTTTGATGAGGTTTTGGTTGACAAAAGCCTAGAATTGTTAGATAGAGCGATGAATATTTTAGGAATGAAATACCCACGTTGGTGTAATAGTCCTTGGCTAGTACGTCGAGGAATCGTTGATAAATTGCTGGCTTGACACCATTGAACTTGCTGATATATGCATGTTTGATCCAATCTACCAACATCTCACTACCTATCACAATGAAGAACGGCGAAAGAACCTCGCCTGGCCAACCTGGAAGTATGGTAAAACTATTGGGAAGCATCGAGCTCGTACGTAGCGGACTAGTCGCTTCTGACGCCGATGACACCATGCTGCTAAACCCACCCATCTCAACAATGTTCCGCAATGCAATGATCATGAGCATAAGCCAAAGCTGGAATCGCTCCACAACATCGGCACACGTGAGTTGGAATAGGTTGTCTTTTTCAAACTTCTTAAACACCGTTCCTTTGACTTCCACGAATTGATTCGATAACAATAGTGTAATGAGAGCATTTGAATATGAGTTTACAGCAACGTTCAAGGTGACGACTTGAGTAAATAATGCTGCTGCATGAACGACGTTGTATATAAGAGCAAGTATGAACATGCCAAGGGGTCGTAATACTTTGCTTCTACCGTCGCTATCTCGTTCCAGCGTTTCGTCGGAAAATAGGCATTCAAAAATGTCCTGGCCTAGGGCTGCCGCAAGGCGATCGAAGACCTGAGAAACTTAGCGAAAGTATGCTACATTTTACAAAGTTTGACATACCTCTAAAAGATTATATATAACATATAGTCTAATTGCTGACTGCGCTCTAATGCTATGATACATTCTGCTTGCGTCCAACTTCATGAGAAAAAATGAACTGAAGATAATGACAGCTCCTTGTAGAAGATCGGCTTTATTGTACGAAGATAATGAAGATGGCTGAGACTTCATGCGGCGATGCCTACGACCCCAACCTTGTCTGGCTCTACGCTCGCTATTTAGTTTGGGGGTAGTTTCAGTAGTACCGCTGCGCCTAAATGTTTCGGAAGTTCTTCCAGCTTGAGATTGAAACGATGTTGTAGCTGACATCGAAGGCCTACTTGGACGAGACATACTTCTTGTCGGTGAAAGAGATTCGGTGCTACGGCGTTCATTCCGTCGATGCCACATACGACTTGTGCCATGATAGACATAGCCAGTAATGAAGCGACACTCCTTAGCTAAAACGTGACCCCACCACGAAATGAGAATCCCTAAAGCTTTGAAAAATCGCAAAGGTAGAATTGTAAAGGTATAAAGCCAGGCATCAAGACATGCCAAAGATCCAAAGTACAGGACCTGTTCCAGTTGTGGCGGTAACAACAAAAAATTCAACAAACGCTCAAACTTAACTTTCGATGATTCATAGGGAAATTCAGAGGAAGCCGAACGATATATATACAAAGGTGATGGTCTTGTGGCGGAAAGTTCGAGCTGTAGATAGGTAGGAATTGACATTGGGGGGAGAGGAATCGATTGGGGTATTGGCGACGGTGGTGGTATATCAGGCAGTCGTGAGGATTTACTCACTCCATGTGCCACGGGAGAATTCAACCCTTCAAGATTGAGGTTTAACGATTCTGGCCCACGACCAATAGGAAATGGTTTCCGCTTTGGGGATGTTGGAACTGCGTTTGATTTGGAGTATGGTGACCATTGGTTTGGAGGTGGCTGGGCGCTAAATGCACGGGAAAAGGACGAGATCGTGGGTCGCTTGGTACCAGTGTTGGCTTGAGTTCCTTCTGGATAATACTGGCGCTCATCATTGACGTCTGAAATGAACTTCACAGATTCTGGGGTGTCAAACTTGCGACGACCTGCTATTTCAGGTAATTGATCGTTAAGATCCATCCGTGGTACATCAGAACTGCTCCTGTTGTGTCCAAGTCCTTCAGTGTCGCTTTCACTTTTCTTGGGTGTTAGAACACTGCTGGGTGACATCTTGGGCAAAGATTCAGGAGCAGATGTCAACTCTGTCATCTCAGCAGCTGATAATTTAAGAACTCTTTCTTCTCCAATACCTTCCAAGGACAATTTCCGCTGATTCTTGACTTGTTCCTCCGGGACCTCACCAAGTTCATGAGAAGATATGGGGGCTTTCGATATTGGGGGCGGTGGAAGTAATACATCTACTCGGTTATCCTCCGCAAGGGAAGAGATGTTTCTCGACTGATGAAAAGACTCGGAACTCTTATTGCCAGCTTGTACAGTAAGTGGTGTCTCATTCGCAGGTCTAAACAGCGGCTCATTTACAGACACATGGGATGATGATGAATTCCGTGGAGATGGACTCGGTGAGGGTGTTCGTAATTGTTCCTGGTCCTCGACAATTGGAGAATGTTTGAGACGTTTGGTTGAAGATTGGGCAGTGGGCGGTTTGATACTATCTTGCTCATGTGATCTCACATCTTGCTCTTGATTCCCTGCCCGTGGCCCAGCCTCATGAGAATGTTTAACGTTCTCTACCGCCATCAAGCCTTATCGAGGTATTCCGGGCGAATCATGGATAAACCCAAGTTCATTGGTAATGCGAATTGATTTGAGATAAAGGTGTCTGTTCGCTAAGATTAGAAATAATGACTACGGTACCTCAATCTATCATGTCCCATACAAAATGGGGTGGTCTCACAAAGTTGTTTTTGTGATCTCCTAGAGCATCCAAACAATTTTGTCTGCTTCTCAATCTCATCAAGTAGGAAATCACTCGATGATGAATGATTACCTAGTAGTAATGAACGATGAACGATTAACCCCCTGAGTCTATCAAAAGTACCGTTCCTCAGGAATGTGCAGAAATGGGAGAGGCTCACGTGATAGCCTTATATACGCCTTACCTAACTTGTGTTAGCTTGTGAGGAGCGTTCACAACCTTATATATGTGGCATGAAAGGTTCAAACGACGAAAGCGGACATCCTTATTCTTTATTGTCCCTGATTCTTTATTCCTTGTCCCTTATTGTATACAGCATCTACAAATCTCTCACATATATATAGAATCGGTAAACTTCCAGCAATACTTGAACCAGTCAGTTTATGTTAGGTTTGTAGTCGACGGATCAAATAGTAACAGCTATGCCCGGCGGTACAGGTACTCATGAAGCGACTCGTAGAGCTGTTTTAGTTCTTTTTTCTTGTTTTAGCACACTAGTAATATACTGGTTGTGGACTCAAATTTGTTCCCTCGTACAGCGATTTCTCGATTGGATATCACCGAAGATAAGGTTTATCAGGGATTCCTTACCAAGATTAAGGCCGAAACCTGTAGTACCGGTAGATGTTTTCACTGGTAATGCTAAAACGTTCGTACTCTTGTCATATCTAGCAAGCTGTAGGTGTAGAGGTGCTGATATCTTCTATAGTGTATTGCCAGTGTCTAATGATGCTGTGCTTAATGGAGATATTGTCTATATTGCAGAACCCACCGCCGCCAAAATCAAGAGAAATCGAGGGCTCATATATTTCTCAGATAGTTCAGGAATAGCGCCACATACTCGAGCTCTGTGAGTCTCCGTGTTATATCTGTATGAGTAGCAGAGCTGAATACTAATGATCATCAAAGTGCAGATGAATATGCCAGGGTAAATGCCAATACCATATCTTATTTATATAATCTCACAAATGACAGGCCGGGTATCTTACGATAGTTATCAACTTTTGGGGCAGACATCAGCCAATAGGCCAATCTAAAGAAGGTGATCGGTAAACGAAATCTTCACATTTAGCAAGAGCTGATTTCGAATTGTAGAAATCGTTCCGTGGGACCGCAACCATCCCACAGGAGGAGCGCCAAGCAATGTTGACAGAGCCCGCATGGTAGATAGCGCTTTGGACTACCTCCGCCTTGATCGAAACTGTATTAAGATTGGTGGAGTAGGATATAGCGGTGGAGTTCTTCCACGTTGGTACCATTTTTCTATTTGAACCAAATCAATTTTAAGGCACAATCTAACCATGGATAATCATCTATTTAGTCATGATTCTACTCAAAGAATCTCCCTGCCGTCTTGCAGCCGCTTTCACAGGTCACCCTACACAAGTACGAAGAGGAGATTATCGTTCTAGTAAGAATACATATTTCCTAATACCTGCTACTCTCCCCAATCCAATTTCCCCTTCTCGGCCTTCTAATAACTCTAAATGAATTTAGTCCATCAACCTTTATCTATAGCTCAAACATGGGACGATCGATTTGTTCCCGAACAAAGTCGCCACGAGCAAGAAGCAGAACTCATCGAGTCGGTCAGGATGACCGACGAAGAAAAAGTCCTCGTCAAGTCGGGCAGGTTCCGGCCACGTGGGTGTCCTTGGCAAATCAATTTATTCTCGGGTGTCGAGCATGGTTTTGCCTCCAGGTTGTTGGATGCAGGACAAATGAATATAAATGAGACTTACGTAAAGCGAGCTGCCTTCGAGCAAGCGGTGTTGTGGTTTGAAACTTATATGCCAGATGTGTCGATATAAATGTGTTGGGGCCAATTTATTTTTTAATCACAGGCCATTCTATGGTACTATAGCGGGAGGATGAGATATATATCTACTTTTCAATTGCAAGACTGCGATGCTTACTTTCTTTCTATTGTTCTCTATTGTCACGTAACACGCGACTTTTATTAAAACACCTCCCAGAAACTTACAATAGTTATAACATACTTGAGAGACCCATCAATGATACCCTTCAGTAACCCAAAATAGCTCTTCATATCTCCGAAAAGCGGGATCAAACTATCAGTCCGAATCATCAAGCGTTATCGCATCATCTCTGCTCTTTCCAGTGTTCTTTGTTTTTCCTCCCTGTCTCATTACAATCTCAACGACCTCTTCTCCTATTTCTGATTCCTGCTCGGCTCTGTCCTTGCTTTCAATGTCTTTTTGATCATCTATGGCTCCACCATCCAAGTCTCCATCATCCACACTTCGATTATCCAAGTCTTCATCATGACGAATCTCACTACTTGCCCCTGAGGTATCCCGCAAAAACTTCCATAACTCATTTCCAAGTGCTCTCGCAAGTGGAACCGGCACCGCATTCCCAATCTGCGTATAAATATCGTCCTCCTTAGTACTCTCAATATCCCACGTAAAGCAATCCGAAAACCGCTGCGCTCTAGCGAATTCTCGCGCGGAATAAGTCCTATGCAAGTACGGATGCAGAATCTACAATCATTCTATTAGCTTTTATATTCATACATACATACTATCATCAGCTAGCAAAAAAATGCTTCAGTACATACCCAGCTTGTACTCGCAAGACTCCTCAAGAGTGTAGTCACGACCTTGAAACTTTGATCTATTGATTGTCTGCCATATCTTCCACTATATTTGACTTTTCCACTATTACCCGAGTGCTGTAGTGCGTTTTGCAAGAAGAGGGGTAAGAGGTTCTCGGGCATGTCTTTGTACGCGGCTCCTGCTCGAAGTGGAACGTTACAGACGCGCTCGACATCCTTGAATAAAAGCGAGATTTGATGATTTTGTAAAAGGTGACCGGGAGCCGATTTGCGTATTTTTCTTTGATATTCTGATAGCGGAGGAGAACCATATGCTTGTTTTTCTAACCCGACAAACTCGAGTTGATCGACTGTCGTGTATTGCACAATATCCTTGTCACGCTTGAGTTGGGCGGATCTTTGAGCTGGCGTTTCGGCATTGATTATGTGCGGGTTTTTCCATTCGAAGCGTGGGAGGTCTGATAAGCAATCTCCTATAGTAACGGGCTGATGGGGAGCTGATCTCCTTACGCGATGAGGACTTTTAAATACTCTTCCGTCGAAGATATGGGTCGGTTGGGGAAATTGCGGGAGCTTGTGTCCGGGGAGAGATGCCCAGAAGATCACGCGGGTTCTGGAGGATGGTAATCCGTATACGTCTGCTTGAAGGAATGCATGTTGACATTGATATCCTAATGATGTCAGAACGCGGAAGATAAACCTACATTTCTTGTTAGATATGTTCACGCATTGAAGGGGGGGTTTCTTCGATTATATACTTTACTGCACCTTTAAGAAGACCTTTTTCTGCGTTCATGTCTGGTATAGCAGTAGAATCAAGCTGTGATGATTAGTAAGTCAGCGATAGAATTTTCGAAGACTTACTTACCTTGTGGCCTACCAATCCCATTACATTCTCCAGGAGAAAGTATTTAGGTCTATAGAAGTCGACGTAAGAAAGATAGGTCGCAATCAGCTCTCTTTTGTTGCAATAGCCTCTCTTATGTCGGTTTAAAGTGCTCCATCCTTGACATGGTGGCCCGCCGATGATCATATCAACTTCTCCTCTGGTAGGCATAACTGCCATATCATTTCCTTCCCTATCAAGTAGGATCCCAGCATTGGAACCAACTTCGTTCTTCACTAGCCATTCTAAGAGCTTGTTGGCGTCTTGATTGTACACGATTGCATCTGGGAAGTTTCGCTTCAGGGTCTTGCAAGCAGCCGCGTCGAATTCAATGGCATAAGTAGTCCCAATTACGCCGCTTTCGTGGAACCCTTGGCTCAGTCCACCAGCTCCACTGAAGATATCCTGGTTGTATGATTAGCATATATTTCAAATATCAGCTCCGGGATTTATAAGATCTTACCAGAGTCCTCAACTTCACCCCACTTTCCTTGGACTCCATCATCTCCTTCTCCAATCTCAACCTCTCCTTACTCTCTTTCGAATATCTCAATTGCTTTTTGGGCATATGTATCAGATCCTCGACGACAACCGAGTCCTTCGACACATTACATGGAATTTGATCTTGAACCCAGAATGTATCATCCAAGTCCTTGTAGGTATCGAGATCTTTGATGTGATCTCTGTGCATAACAAAGCAATGGCCATCGAGGTTCTCTGGACTCAATATTTTCCATCCTCTCAAAAATACTCTTCTCTCGTCATGCAGAGCGAATGGAATATTACTTTCGATCTCTTGCGATCTCGTGGCTTGAAAGTGATCGTCGTATCGCTCGTAGACGTCTACCATGATCTTGATCTCGGAATTGTCATCTTCGTTTTCCTCCATTTCAGTATCGTAATCATCCGATTCATGGGGACGTGTGACGCGGATATACTGAATCTGCCCAATGCGGTATGGCACTTTATTGAATGGTACTTTTTGACCAGAAGTGTCTTTGGTTACAAAGTATACAAAATCTCTTCGGTGATATTCCGTGCCTTTGTAGATGAGTCCAGTAGCAGATCCATGATTTTTCTTCGGGCCCATTACTTTAAACGGTTCGTCTTTCTCCGTCTTCTCAGCTCTATTACGGGCACAGCATTCATAGTCCTGACGTGGAGTTTCCTGGTCTTGTATTGGCATTTCCGAGGCTTCGGTAAAACTTTCAGATAATATGTCGTAGTTGAATCGATAGAAATAGCTATCTGCGCTTGTATAATACTTTTCTTCGAGATGTCCGACGCCTGAGATCTGAATGTTGTCGTATTTCCCTCAAAAATCGACTCTGATCTTGCATTTTATATATTTCATGTCAATATTGTCACATTTAGGAGTGAGAAATAGTTCTCGCGGGCTGGCTATCTCTCCAATAATGGTACTGTAGCCATGTTTGAAGTATCTAATATGAGCCATTGACCCTGTATCCTTACACAGTTAGCTTGTTGATCATGGAGAATATACAGGAAACTTACTTCGTTCTCGAATCTGTATACGATGCGGGCATAGCAAAGTTCAGAATCAATATCATCTTCTCCAGATTAGCTCTTGATCAACCAAAATGAAAGAAAACAACTAACAAGTATGAAGATAACGTTATCTCCGGCTCGGTATTCAATTATTTTCCCTATGTTTTAACGTAAGAACTTTTCTCCGGTACTTCTGGCTGACGAGATAGCAGCACGGTATTTCTCCAGAGCCAATTCGCCAGAAGGTTCATCATCATTGGTCCCAACTGGTCTCAGAGGCCTGCCGAATAGATTACCAGCAATTTTCGAGATCCACGATGTTGTAAGTGTTACTGACTCCTCGGTTGACTGTTTGGATGACTTTCTCTTCGTCTTCTCAAGTGTATCCAGAGGTCTGTCTGGAGTGGCAGAACGTGGGTCGTCACTACTGATATCCGTATCTGATTCATCCGAGATTTCAAAGGGCGAGAAGTCTCTTTTTAGGCGAGAGACATTTTGATTAATGGAATTATCATCCAGAACGATTACCGACTCGTCTTCGTCTGAGCCATCGAGGACAACAACTCGTTGATCGTCAACCACAATAGTCAAGTCAGCTTCATCGTCACTATTGATGGTTGGAAGTGTCTCTTCTAGCTTCACTTCCGGAAGTTCCACCTCAGGAATCCCTCGATCTACCGATTTCCTGTCAATATCAATAGCCTCCAATTTACCTGATTGGGGGGTATCCGGTTTCAGACTTGGTGTAGTTCTCTGACTTCTTGATCTTCCAGTTATGGACAATTGATCCAAAGTTTTTTGCGGGACCCAAAATTCTTCCTTTCGGGATCGTTTTCCCGCCGCTTGTGCTACATCGAGGCAAGTATTCGGCAGATCGAAAGAATTGTCTTCGAGAAGCGTGTATGCCTGAGCTTTGAGGATGTATTAGTACAAGAAACGAGCAGGATTTGGAAGAAAAAGATTAGATCTGATCAAATATCGGACTCACTATTGGTCAAAAGAGGATCTATCTCAAAAAGTGATGCAAATTTCTTTCGAAAATCGATTCCTGATAGTGTTGCCATGGTATGAGTGTATAATTGAGGGCAATTGTAGCAAAATGGAAGAAATTAAAGCAACTTTGTGCTTATAAGCACAAATCTGGAGAGTTGTATAAGGAAGAAGAAATATGAAACAATCCGAGTGGAAGAGTCCTTGAAAGCAGTCCTCGAAAGCGAGCTAGTGATTTCTGTTCTTCAAAAGTGAATTATAATATCGGCTTAGAGCGAATAGAAAGATTGGAAGAATGGTATTTCACTTTATAACTTTCAAGTAAAACTATTAAGTTGAGAGATGAATGGCTATTGTAGGGATATATATTGGAGAGCTTCATTTTTACTCGAGTGGATTGTTTAGTATTATTTGAGTCTTTGATGAATATCAAAATCAATTTTCTATAGATAGATCTTTGTTACAGTAGATATATTGAACATTATTCATATCATCGCTGATATGGAAGGGGGTAGTATCTATATCCGAGTAAAGTGTATATATATATAGTATTGAGGATCTCCTCGTTAATATCAACCAAGAAGAATCTTGATGTCTTAGTACAATACACAACATTGATGATGATCTCACTCAATTGTTCCGACGAAAATCTAATTTCTTTCTATTACAAATTGAAAAATGGATATATAGTCTTATGCAAACATCTTCTTGTTTAATTATATATATTTAAATAATGAAGTTCTCTCTGTTCAAATCGAATAATGCATATATTCTTACAGACTTTGAAACACTCAAAGTATATTAGCTAGACTTTAGATAGTTCTAAGAATGAGGAGTCTTTCTTATAGAGCAAAACTTGAAACATCAATAATGTTCCAGCCTGAGTATCATTCAAATCACTCTTCATTTCATAAAGTATATGAAGAGATTAATTATCTCTTTGCTTCAAGACTCAAGAGTAGACAATGGCCCTTCATTATACAGAACACTAGCACCTTCGAGAATTGATTATCTCTCTAATTATTTGCCAAACGTTTAAAGTGTTATCTATTTTATAGAACAGCTTGCTACTTACAAGATTTATTTGAAGATACTCCTTCATTATTTACTGGTGTTTTCCAGATTCAAATTGAATCATTACACTATTCTTGTCAAACAACTTGAAGATCATGATTAGTTGCTTACTAGTACTCTCTAGCAAGCATACAAATCACAAGGGATACTATTATTGATTTCTTTCATCTGAGTTCCTCAAGTTTCGAGAGTATACAGATTTCGAGACCAGTGGTTTGTTGTTTACTAGTAGTCACGATATATTTCTAGATCTGGAAGACAGAATCAGACTTGTATATACCGTCGTATAAATCATCTGTCTCATGCGAAAAGTTCTTCTTGAGAGTATATCAACTAATATTATATTCAATGTAAAATAACTTCTATAGAACATAAATAATTTATCACAAAGATATATAAGAAGAGCAGTCCGAGAGAAGACATTAGATTGATAATCGTAGGTAGATACGCTATATGTATTCAAATAGGGATGTATATGATGGCATAAGAGCCACGTCTATATTCGATATACATTATCTAATGATTTATCCCTTCAATATCCCATATCACTAACAAGTTGATATCTGATATTTGAGTATTATCAGCAGCTTCTCATCTGCCTCAGATTCCTCAAGAAGAACAAATTCAAGGACTAGATCCTATTAATAGTATTCGTGCGCATTAGCTAAGATTATCAGTAACAAAGATAAATATTTGATTCTTATATACATACCAGTATATGCATTAACTTACATTCATACTTGTATTTAACTTTCACTTCGATAGATCTCCCATCTCCCGTCTATTATACCAATACCCTCTCTCTACCTCTCTATAAAACTCCATTCCTCTTCTTCGGACCATCAATAAATATATTTCGGGCAACGAACTAGATCCGATTCTATTCGATATTCTGCATTATCATCAATATCTTCATTCCATTATGCTACTCCAACCAATAAAAATATTCTAAGATTACAAAATAGAAATGAAGAGCATTGGCATCAATGATATTTATTGAAAGAAATCCGAGACGATATTAATTAGATGGAACGAACATGCAGGAAGGATACTCAGGGAGGATAACTAATTGTTTTTCTATTACTCAATAGATAATCTTATGCCCATTCATTCATTTAAGTTACTACGAGTTATAAATTGTTTTACTTGTATATATCAAGTTTGTTATCAACCGTCGGATAAACGAAATGCTGATACTGTAGTTTATTGTAATCATCAATTATCTCTAGATATTGTTTTTCACTAATTATGGGTATAGTATATAGCTCTAGAGTATAGCTTCAGTGTATAGCTTCAGTGTATAGCTCCATTAGAGCTTCAGTATCATCATCACTGACTTCTCGAACAAGGAATTTCGCTGTGACAGGAGCCAGGCTCTTTCTGTCTCAACTTTGCTTTTCTGATTCGTGATGGATTACAATTCGTTGTTGTATTTACTGTACTCGAGTATCATTGATGTAGCTTGTCATATCAGTACAGTTTATGGGAATTGATATGATATAATATGTCGAAACTTCCAAATAATGGTATTGATAGTGAAGTGTTACATGTTACATTTCTCAAATGAAGAGATGAATGAAGAGATGATAATAGTGTCAACGAAATTCAATTCATCGACAAATCCTTGATAGGGAGGGATCCTTAACCCCAATCATTTCATTCTTTCCGAGCCATCAGGCCTTATAGGCTATGAAAGCCATTACACCCGCTAGAAGCATAGGTCTTGGCTGGGCTACCACTAGGATAAACTAGCGTAAGATTGTGAAAATAGTATTTATTAACTACGATGTTGGTTTGCAACTCTTCATCTCGTAGTCTTAGATATACTGTAGAGACTTTCGACCAGACGCTCTGTTGTTATGATATGATGGTCGTTTTGTTTCCACATATTATATTCTGTTGAGCCTCCTCTCAGTCTCAGTGTTTGATTTGGGATTTTTCAACCTGCTTAAAAGTTCCCTGAACAATACTACCATCTATCTTTCTCATCAAGCATCTCAGTACCGACCGACAACAAGCCTTACAGATACGAGTAGATACTGTACCATAAGACTGAAAGCAACTTTACCTCCAAACCGGCCATGTTTCAACGATTTAAGGACACGCAATCTGCATGTATGGTACCGGTACCGGTACACCAAAATGATGATGGACAACATCCACCACTAAGAAGATCGTCCCTCCCTAAGGCTAATTAATAGCACCGCCAATCCTGGGATGTCCCGTTCCCACGGGTAAGGAATAGCTTTTATCATTAGTGGCACGGCACAGCTACTTTAGCGTTATTGCTATTTTTGCATCAATTTCAGTGTATACAGTATGCGCCTCTGATATAGGGGTTCAATAGTCAGTCTGTATGTCAGAGGAGGTACAGAACAAGGCTCAACATCTTATGAATGGTACCCGAGCCGACAAATCAAGAGTCCCTGACCTGACCTGACTTCGAAGTAATATACGGGAATCGAATTCTCTATGCAATATGGGAAAATTGATTTACTAAGCGCCAGAATCTTGTACAGTATGTACCAATCACAATTGATGTACGGTACTGTACTGTGCTATTAACACGTTTTTGTATTCCTTCCCAAGTTCCCAAGGAAAAGGGATTTTCACCCATGGGATTTTCATCAGCCAGTGGATCATCAGCCTGTCCAGGATCATCACAATGGGGCCATCCATCCCTAAGACCTCATTCTTCAGGAGTAAAAGTTAAACCCTATAAGCAGCATATGGGTTGACCCCTAAGCTCTAACAACCGTATCTGATCTGATACCGGTAACGCGTTATTTACTGGAACCAGTACGTTACCATGGCCGGGGCCGATATAGCTAGCTCGTTACAGCATTGTCCAATACCGGTAGATCCTACGAGAACACAAATTTATCAGATGAAAGATTGAAGGAAGCTGGTTACTGTGGTAGTGACGACCCGAGCTACTGCACACTGGAGTAAATCTGTACTTGACTATTGACTCTTGAGGAGGTGAGTGGAACAGAATCAATTCCCCTTAATCCGAAAATGGAATTCATTCCACCGTAAATGGTTTGTGCCAGCGAGTACAAAATTGAAGAATGGATCTCCCAAAAAGCAAATAGCGGTGCGTGTTCCTAGTTGGTTGTTCTATTGTTTAGTTTATATATCAGGGGCATTATAATCGAATGATACTCAAGTATAGTGATTCAGTACCACTGATTATAAAATACTCCTGCTCCTGCTCTACTCTACTTCCAGTATCTACTCGTATATCTGATTTAATTTGATTTGATTTTCGTAATTATTAATGTTTATTTATTCACGTGATCCCCCTGTTTTGTGCAATTCATATTTAGCTTTTTTAAAGTTATTTATATATATATATTCATTCCTCATCCAACCAGTTTCATGAATGAATTTATTTACAAGCGCAGCTCAATCCGTGGTCCGTTCCTACACGCCAAGTCCTTCACTGCTGTCAGCCTCGAGACGAAATAATACATACATACTGTACGGTATAAGATTGGGTCGTTAATTTTTCTTTAATTTTTTTTTAATTTCCGCCAATCTTACTGTCCCGCATTCTACTTAAGCTCTGTCGAACCAAAAAAACACCCCCCCCCCCTCAAGACCAACGAATCTTGACACTTTGGCACTTTGGCACTTTGGCACTTTGGCACTTTGGCTTCTTTGGTCAAAGCAACCACCCACCCATCCATGGATTCGTCGTCTGAAGTTAGGAGTGAGAAGGTCTGGCCGTTGAAGGAGATCAGAGATTTGATAGAGCAAGGTCACGCGATTGTTATATCGGGGGGTTATGTTTTGAAGTTGGATGCTTGGCTCAATCATCATCCAGGAGGTGCAAAGGTTATTTTACATGTGGTTGGTAGAGATGCTACCGTTGAATTGAATGCGTGAGTTATTGATATGATCGACATAGGGCTTGGCTGAATAATAATCACTGACTCGATCTAGATTCCATAGTAAGGATGTCAAGGCCAGAATGAACCGTTATCGAATTGGTAAGCTGGAAGAACCATGGGTGAATATTGTACCCCCTATTCAAAGACAATCACTTTGCGATTCGCCTGAGAACGAGAATGAGAAAGAAGCTTCAACGCCCATCTCCGATGTACCTTTGGTGGATGTCACCATCACCGAAAATCTCCTAGCTGTCCCTCGACACATAAATCCCGACAGCGATGCAAGCTCCACGACTTCATCAATTTTCGATCTTGAGGGATTACGATCACGAAATCGAACCGAGGGAAGTTCAGTCGATTCCGAAGAAAACCCCGATCTGGACCCCAAGATACTGGATGCCTCGGAATTAGAAACTAAATTCCAAGCCCTAATTGACAAACTAGAGGATGAAGGTTTATACGACTGCAATCTCTGGGCATATGTGACCGAAGTTTTGAGATGTACGATTCTTCTCTCCCTTTCGCTCGTATCACTTCGTCTGGAGTGGTATTGCACCAGTGCAGCATTCCTGGGTATGTTTTGGCATCAAATTGTCGCCACGGCACATGACGCCGGTCATTTGGCCGTAACCCACGATTATAACATCGACTTTTTAATCGGCGGGATCGTTTTGAATTTCTGCGGTGGACTTTCAATAGGGTGGTGGAAACGCAATCACAACATCCATCACATTGTTACGAACTCACCAACACATGACCAAGATCTTCAAATCCTCCCCTTCATCGCCATTTCCCCCGTCTTTTTCGATTCTCTGTACTCCACCGCTTCCGAGTGTATCATGCACTACAATTGGTTTGCCAAATTCATGGTTCCAAAACAAGCATGGACATACTACTTCCTACTCTCGGTCGCACGCTTCAACCTCTACTACCTCGCCTGGGACTTCATCCTCCGGGACCTCGGCACCAAACTGCACCGCAAACAACGCATCTTCGAACTCATCGGGCAGCTCTTCTTCTGGACCTGGTTCGGCTACTGCATCGTATACCGCAGCATCCCCAGCATCTCGCAACGCATCATCTTCTGCCTCATCTGCCACATGATCACTCTACCGCTGCACCTGCAACTCACCGTCTCCCACTTCTCCATGTCGACGGAGGAATCCGAGCCCAGCGAACACTGGATCCAGCGCATGTTTCGCACCACGATGGATGTAGATTGTCCGACGTGGATGGATTGGTTTCACGGGGGCTTGCAGTTTCAAGTCACGCATCACTTGTTTCCACGCATGCCGCGACATAATTTGCGCGCGGCAAGTGCGTTGGTTAAGGATTTTTGTAAGGAGACGGGGTTGAAGTATGAAGTTTATGGCTTTGGAGAGAGTAATGGGAGGATGTTTGATAGGCTGGTGGAGGTGGCGAGGCAGGCGAGGTATTTGAAGGATTGTCAGGATAGTATTGTTAGTAAGGGCGAGTATTTACATGGGCATTGGGATTAATGAATGGGTGTGGGTGGGTGTAGATGGTGGAGTGCTAGTGTGACTTTTTTCTCTCGGGGGTTTGCTGAGCATTTGGTGTAGATGAGAATGGGAATTTTGCAAACGAATACATATGTGCGGTGCATTTATGTGCAGGCATGCAATGGGTATAGTAGAGTGTTATTTATATATTAGATGAGTAGGTAGGTACGTACATATATATATACATATGCATATAATTCATAATGCCAATCTTTCAATTAAATCAATCAATATATGTATCATTTCATTTATATCATTTATTTCATCTACATAGGTATTCAGTACAGAAAATCTTGATATCATATATCATTCGTTATGACTGGTTATACTCGAGATTAGTTATATAAATGTGTTCCTGGGGCACTCACTGCACTGGGGGGCTATTCTCATCTCTTTCTTTCTTTCTTTCTTTCTATGTGAGTCCGAGTCTTAAGATGGGAAATATGTAAGTGGGTAGGGAAGGATGGATAGGGAATAAGGAATAAAAAATAAGGAAAATGTTTTTGGTATTGTAGATAGATAGTAGGTGTATGAGTAGATGGGGGCATTAGATAGGGGAATTGGATTGGATTGGATTGGATTGGATTGGATTGGATTGATTCAGAGTATACTGAATTAAACGGAACTGAACGGAACTGAATTGAGCAGTGTATTATAACTGGAATGAATTGAATTGAATTGAAGAGATTCGAGATATGGGATATGGGATATAATATGCACTGGTTTGAAGAAGAAGATGCGAGGAGGAATTGATGAAGGAGAGGATAGGTTGATAAAAGAGGATAGATAGGTTAATGAAGAAGAAGATAGGATAATAAAAGCGGTGCAGTCAGTGGAGTGTAGTAGAGTAGAGTGAAAGTTGTAATGTTATTATAAGTTATACGAGTAGAAGAGGGAAGAGAAAAGAGGAAAAGAGAAGGATGTATATGAGTAGATAGATACCCGAGTAGATAAATAAATATCTATATACTAAATAGTATAACTTTATTCTAATTACTAGGTGTTTTATTCAATTCTCTGATATATAATATACTATCATATATATTACTGAGTAATGCTAAAGTTTAGACTTGTTTATATATACTGAATACTTGGTTTATATCTACTCGGCGAGTATATCTATATCTATCTATATCTTCGTTTTTAATTAATTGTATTTGAGACGCCAGTTTCTGTTCTTAGATTTCTTCTTTCTTGCGTATAACTTCTTGACAATTATTACATCGGGAATCTTTGATGTATACGAGTGAGTAGTTGCTGTTATATTTCGTATATGATTTGTATAATTTGTATATTACTATACTCGAGTATCTATCTATACTATCGGTACTACTCGAGCATACCAGTACTAACTAGTATATATAGTAAAGCCTCGAATCTAGACTTTTAAATTCTTAGTTTCCTGCATCTCTAAATTCCTAAACTCTTGAATTTATAACTCTCGATTCCTGAACCTTCTCTATTCTCGATTCTTTTGCCAGTAGTATAGTATGGATTTTCTCAAATTGTTTGTTATTATGCTCTGTCCGCACGAGTCACAGTCTGCAGAAATCCAAGTCGAAATCAATGTCGACGTGGATGTCTTTGAATTTACTATATATATATTCTTTTTTGTTTCTTTATTCATAATGTAAATGAATGGATGGATGGATTACTCGAGTATTTGTATTAGGGTATCGGTGGTAACGGGTAAGTATACGGAGGCACGGTACGGAGGCATGGTACTTGGAGTTATGGAGTGGAGTCATGGTGGAATGTATTTGAAGTTTCTATGTACTCGAGTAGACTATGTACTGTAGTAAAGGATGAGATGAGATGTTATGAGAAGGGAGGAGAAGGAAAAGGAGAGGGAAAGGAAAGGAAAGGAAAGAAAGGAAAAGGAAAAGGAAAAGGAAAAGAGTTATGGTAATGATAATAATAATAATAATAATAGTTGGGCACAAGGGTCGTTTATAATAATATAATAACTATAACGTGGTTTATCAGCGAGTGGATCATATCAGCGAGTGGATCACTTTTACC